GCTGCTTGCGCTTCCTCCTGAATGATGAGGTCTAAAGATCTGAGATTCAGAAGGTACTCAAGTGATGTCGATGGAGTGGTTCTCATACAACTAGTGGCCGCTATGCTTACTAGGCGTTGCAGGCTTTGGAGTTTTGATCTTGCTGTTGATAGTTGTGTTCTGTGCCACCACACAAGTGATCTATAATATTTTGTGTAAGAGGGCCATATAACCGACGTGTAGAGCCAGTGTTATCTTTGGGTTGAGACCTCATCTACTACCAATGAGTCTCTTGCACTGATGGAATGCTATACAGGCCATTTTTATTTTGTTCTCGACATGACTCGCCCAGTTCAATTTATTGTCTAAGGTGATGAGTTTTGTTTATAAAGAGTTCTGGTAGTTGGAGCTCTTGTAAATTCTATAATGCACTTATTAAGTACTTTTATTGACAACGTTAGGCACTATGAATTCAATTATATGTTTTACTAGTAGATGTTAACCATTATTTATTAAAACTATTAACTAAAGTTCTTTGATTTATAAACTACGCATTATGTTTTCCTTTAATCTGACAATTGGGCTAAGTTATATCATTTTACACCAAATAATTAACCAAATCATTAGTTGCGATTTTCAAATGTTTTTGATCTAAGTAACTGATAACATTTTACACATGTACGAAACTTTTGTGGTTAATGGTATTAGTCTAATTGAATCATTATACACAAAATAAATAATCATTTGTCTTTTACTTTTTGTGATATAAATTAAGTTACATTCTTTTTCACCAACCAACAATACATAGTTTTTTTTGTGTATATTAATATGAGTCATCTTATATTGTTAATCACAAATTCAATCTGAACAACTTCAATCGTGTAAAAAGTAGTAACACGAGTCGTACCTCTTGACACAATAAAAAATTGAAAGAAGCCTCCGGTACACTTTGTTAAAAGTAGACATGTATCAATATACACGAAAGAAAACTCAAAATTGGTTCACAAAGCCTTACTTGTATCATTTGGCACAAAATTATTTTCTTTTCTATACGTCGTAGAAACATACCGATTAGATACAAAAATAGCTAATTTTTCAGAGATTCACATTATGTTATAAAGTCAATTTTGATCTAAGTCGAGTTAGATCCCTTTTCACTGGGGGTACAGAGATATCACTAGTAGCAACACTGTCAAACAGAACTTTTTGCAACTATTTGAAGTTTAATGACTTTACGGATAATTGATTGTTTTACTGTCCAGTGTGTTTTTTGATTACATCTGTGCATACAGTTTGTTTCCTGTTCTCGAAAATTTCATAATCCGTGGGTCTAGACAAAGTGCAAATTATAATCGCAAACCAGTCGCAAAGTGGTCGAAAAGCCCCTTTTTTGTATGGAGTTTTGACGAATTCGATTTTCGATTCGATCAAAAAGTGCGTTTTGTCTAGGGGGGCAGTTCACATTCAATGTTGCGACTTTGTTGCATATTTTTAGTATTTTGACGATCACCCGGCGAGTAGCAAGTACTACAATAATTTCACTTCGCGATTAACGAGAGGTTTTGTCGCATCACTAGTGCACAGACTAAAAATATTTTTATGTCAGTTGGCCATATTTGATGACATTTCTGCTGATTTCTAAAAAATTAGACTGTAGGTCAATTGAAAATTTGAACAAGCTATAAAGTTCTTCTAACATGTTTGTCTACAACTCGAAGACTCTTGAAGTTAAAGGCTGCCGGGCTTTCGACTCAAAGGTCCACAGTTTGAGTTCTAGGGAATACATATTTTGAAGACCACATTGTAATTCTCAGTTCTATTTGGAAAATGGAAAATATTCGTAGATTCGGAACCTCTGAAAGTCCTTGCAGTTACATTTAATTACATCACTTTTACCTATGTAAGTAGGTAGGTATACCATGGGCACGAAAAATAAAAGGGGACAATATTATTTGATCCTCTAAAAACTAATTGATCTTTTTTGTATGTGCACTTTTAAAAATAAATGATGTTTTTTATTATATTTTATCTTTAAATTANCCGTCTAAAGGACTCCGATGAAGTTAAGTCCTGTGGCGATGGGATGAGGTAGAGAGGTCTGGCCTGATGCAAGCTAGGCTTTGTCTGATTCCTGCACACGGGCGGTCCCAGGGGTGTGAGTACACGCCGTGGTCGTTTGTGCACTGCAAATTTGGGGCGGCAGTGTGGATTCGGCAGCACCTGGGATGACAGAGCAGCCCTATTTAGGGAGGCACTGCTCTCCCTGCTCAGCCAGGGAGGGGGCTAGAAAAGGTGCCCTAAAAAACGTCCGTCCCTACCTGGAAGGTGGTAGTAACCGCGGCTACCATCGCATCATATGAATACGTGGTCGACGCTACAAAAGTAAACGAATCATGAATCCACCTATCATGACCTTTGGCGCGTGGAACGTGAGAACGCTTATTGATCGAGATGCCAGCGTCTGCCCTGAACGTAAAACCGCCATTGTAGCTCGCGAACTTCATCGCTATGACGTGGATGTGGCCGCACTCAGCGAAACGCATCTTGCTGATGAAGGAGAGCTGGTGGAGCCCGGAGGCGGCTACACTTTCTTTTGGAAAGGTATGGCTTCCTTCGAGCCTCGGCGTTCAGGTGTAGGATTTGCAGTCAAAANAATTTAAAAAGATCATTTAAATACATGCCAAATAAAAGTAGGACCTTTCAGCTAGTCATACTTGTACGGGGTCAGCTAGTCATATCTGTCAGCATCATGACCTACTTAGTACACGAGCTCTAGTCCCATGTTAAGTAAAAAAGCAATTATTCTTCCAATTAAGAATACAATAACTTGGGATCCATTTACGTTCCTCTATATTTTAACACTTTATTAACAAAGAAATGATCTCAATTAATCAAAATCTATTCTTTCGCTCTCGCCTTGATGTGTCAGTAATTCTTTCACCTTTTAAATACCTAAATGGATTCTCTCTAATCAAGTGGGGCTATCTTGGGATTAGAAAATCAAAATACTTACCTATGCTTTTCCTTTTTTACCAGTCTCATACATATTAATTTTTAGGATCAATCCCATCTTTGAAAAAAAATGTAACGACACAGATTACTTTACCGTATTTATGTACAACAAGAAGGTAGACGACACAAAATAACCGATTGATTTGGCGGCTTCCAGCTTGAACTATCTGTATAAACCAGTTAAAAATACTTACCAATTTATTCCTATTTTTTACCCGACTGCGCCAGAAGGAGGGTATGTTTGTATAATAAAATCTATGTAAAATACATTCAGGATGTAAGATTATGTGTAAGTAACCCACCTACCTCCTTAGCTTTGTAAGTGCATTGACTTTTCAAGTTTAGTTGTCCGCGTGCCGCCTTCAGTCTGCTGTCGCTTTTACCAGCCAAAACACGTCTGTATTCCTTCGAAATGTGCTAGCATACGGATTGTTACGATCATCTACAGTAATTGTGCAAATGATAGTGTTTTACAGAAGAAATGTATCTTGGAAAGCCTAAAACCAAATCGAACAGTTAGTGCGATTTTTTTTGGTATTGTTTTTCTGTACACTTAGAAAACGCACGTGGTTAAAATGTTGATTCCTTAGCAAGCACATAAGATACTAATTTCCTTGTAAAGTCTAATTCCTTAAAGTATACTTAAGTGGTATTTATTTCGAATACAACCCTTATCAATTTAGTGTAGTTGAAAACCGCGAAGCGTTAAAACAAAATAAACCAAATCAATTTTTAATGTCTCATAGTGGAATGTTTGTATTTGTACTTTTACAACATCAACTTGTAGCTTTATTTTCCTGAATAATAGCATCCATTTAAGAACTACGAGTAAGTAATCAATGAAATCGTTTTTGTGGATTTCGTATTTTCTAAAGATCCTTCAGTTTTCCAACCACATTTGTTTTAGTCATTAAAAAGCTTTCTCATATTTCATTCCTACTCAAGGTTAAATAAAAATAAACCAGAAAACCGATTTGGAATTTAAAACGCGTGCGATCAATCGCAATTTACTATATACGTTGGAAAATCTGAAGCTTGCGTGCACGATTTTCCTTCCTACAAAGAAAATTGCCGCGATAGTAGCGTAGTACCTAAGTCCCAACCTACTATGGAAATCTGAATAAAATAGGTGATAATGGCCTACTGAAAAACTTATTAGAAATGTCGTGGTAATGTTACGGTGGAAATTATTAACTAGCAATGGTGGAATCGATCCGCGTCCTCATACGACTGCTAGGCAACCATGAAAATTATAGGGTTGTTGCGCCTGAAACAAACAAAATTAGAATACATAAATAGGTACCTACTTGAAATCATTTTCTGAGGTAACTGAAAAATTTAGAATCTGTATGGGCAAATGGTCTTAATATTAAATCTAAAAATATCTGGAAACCTTTCGCGTGAACTAAAAATAAAGTTTAAAACCGTATCAAAATTGGGATAGCCTATCAGCATCAAAACATTTTAGCTGAGTAGGTAATAAACCAATAAGTTTCCAGAAGAGTCAATGTTAAATTAAAATCAGGTAAAACTTTTATAAGGGCACAGAGAAACCAAATTCTTTACTCATGTGGTAAAAGTGTTTGGTGAAACTGACGCCTTTTCGTTTAACTCACGAACATCCCTTAGGACCTGACCTTTAAACTGTAATAACGAAACGAAAGATCGTAAATCGACAACCCTACCCACTGAAAGGTGCGGCGACATGAGCGCCATGTGACATGTAGCGTGAAATAGGTTAATGTGGCATTGTTTCATTCTGAAACAGTAATTTATGCTGCTTAGGTTGTACCTATTCATTGTTCAGAGCCCTAATGAGCTTTGAGATCGCCAATGACAGGTCGCGCGACCCATGACAGTTTGACATGCGACCTGTCATTTCCCTATGATCGCACCGTGACACACGATGGACAGTCAACACTTCGAGTTTTTGAAAAAGCTACATTTCCACATTTTCCACTATTCGCTCCACTTACCCAAGACTGAAGAGTTGTCCTTTGCATCTGCAGTAGCATGGCACAGACCGATGTCGGCGACCTCCCGCCAGGAGGAGGAGCTGATGCAGCGCAGCGCCCGCGCGCTCGCCGCCGCCACCGACCCGCTGGAGAAGTTGCGTCTGCTGTGCCTCTCCAGGGGAGCCTCCGGCATCATGGGGCTGGCCAGGTACGCCATTATAGTCCTTAGTCATTAGGCCATAGAGATTAATACATTGACAGTGACACACAGGCATTAGTAGTGGTCACTGAACTCTTTGGAAATTATCTTCTTAACTGGGGACATGGAACAGAGTCATGGAAGCTTAGTACGCGATTATAGTCCTTAGTCATTAGGCCATAGAGATTAAGGCTAGGCGCAGACCGCCGATTTTTAGTTGGCTGATAGTTGGTTCGGGCTGTTAATCAGTATGGAGATGTATGAAAGTGCGCACATTTCACCGATTTGAAATCGGTCGATTCTTCATACAAATTAGAATTGGGCCCAACTATCGGCCAACTAAAAGTCGGTGGTCGACGCCTAGGCTTATACATTGACACATAGGCATTAGTAGTGGTCACTAAAATCCTTGAAAATTATCTTCATAACTGGGGACATGGAAGCTTAGAAGCTGCGTCTGCTGTGCCTCTCGAGGGGAGCCTCCGGCATCATGGAGCTGGCCAGGTACTCCATTGTCTGTATTTTATAGGCCAAACAGCATTAACTATTAACTGCAGTAACTTATTGAGCAGACATGCTCAAAACCTTATTAGATTCAACCCCAAAAAGGGAAGCACTTGGGTGATTTTTGGGTGAAGTGACCACCATATTTTAGAGGTCTAGAGCCACGCCTCTTAAGGATGGCCCCAGTTAACTAATTAGACTTTACCATGACGCGCGAGCCCGACGTCGAATAACTGTTCAAGCTTTGTATTCTGCCCTGAACGTAAAACTGCCATTGTAGCTCGCGAACTTCATCGCTATGACGTGGATGTGGCCGCACTCAGCGAAACGCATCTTGCTGATGAAGGAGAGCTGGTGGAGCCTGGAGGCGGCTACACTTTCTTTTGGAAAGGTATGGCTTCCTCCGAGTTTCGGCGTTCAGGTGTAGGATTTGCAGTCAAAAATCACCTAGTAAAGCGACTTGAGGAGTATCCAGTACATATCTCGGATCGCGTTACCACATTGCGCCTTCATCTGGATAAAGACAACTACCTTAATGTCATCAGTGTCTATGCTCCAACGCTCGACAAGTCTGATGACATCAAGGACAAATTCTATGACGAACTATCTCAATGCCTTGACAGTATAAGCGCCAGAGAGCAGGTCTTATTGCTGGGCGATTTCAATGCCAGAGTTGGTCGGGACTATGAGGCTTGGCCTGGAGTTCTGGGTAGACACGGAGTCGGCAACGCGAACAGTAATGGTCAGTTGCTACTCAGTCTTTGTGCTCAATATCAGCTCGCAATATCGAACACTATGTTCAGACTTGCTGCTAAGTACAAGACAACGTGGATGCACCCGAGATCCAAACATTGGCACTTAATCGACTATGCTGTTGTAAGGCAAAGAGATATCAGTCAGGTTCAAGTCACTCGCGTCATGCGTGGAGCGCACTGTTGGACTGACCACCGACTTATAGTTACTAAGCTGCGACTCTGCCTCCGCCGACCACGTAGGTCCGCAACGAAACAGCCTGTGCTGATAAACGTGGATAGGCTGAATGATCGCGAGGCCAGGGAGAAATATGCTGAAGCCTTGTCCAAGAAGCTATTGCCAGTCAAAGAGACAGATGATGTCAGTGCTGCTTGGGGATGTTTGTCATCTCATCTCTTGGAAACCGCTTCCGTTGCCTTAGGTATGAAATACCGACGTAATGAAGACTGGTTCGATGAGAACGATGGGGTTCTCAGGGCAGCACTCGACAAACATCGAAATCTCTTGCAAAAGCATAGAAGACGAGGTGGAAGTGTCGCGGTAGTCAAAGAAAGTGACCTTGAACTGCGTAGGCTGTCTCGACAAATAAAAGACAAGTGGTGGCGGGACAAAGCTTGTCACATGCAGTGGCTCGCTGACACAAACCAACTTGGGGAGTTCTACTGCGAGGTACGTAAGCTGATTGGTACACCATATCGGGCAAAAGTACCCTTGAGGTCTGTAGACGGTACGCAATTACTGACAAGTAAGGAAGATGTACTAAGGCGTTGGGCCGAACACTTCAATACTTTGCTCAACGTAGATCGATCAACTGATCTTAATAATATCAGCTTAATGCCTCAACTCCCTCTAGCCACTGAGTTGGATGAGCCCCTGACTTGTGGGGAGGTTGTCACTGCCATCAGGCAGCAGCAAAACAAGCGGGCGGTTGGCATTGACCTTATACCGGGAGAGCTGCTCAAGTGCGGGGGTGAGGAGTTGCATAAGTTGGTTTGGGAACTATTTGTTCGCATGTGGGAGGAAGAGCGAGTACCCGAAAGCTTTAAAGTATCTCGCATCAGTGCCCTGTACAAGAACAAAGGGGACCGTTCCGACTGCAACTCTTACCGTGGTATTTCGCTTCTGTCATCCCCTGGAAAGGCCTTTGCCAGAGTCCTTTTAAACCGCCTAAAGGATTTGTCAGAACAGATCCTGCCCGAAACCCAGTTTGGCTTCCGACCTGACCGAGGTACCTGTGAAGCTATCTTCTCCGTGCGTCAATTACAGGAAAAAAGCAGAGAGCAGGGTCGTCAGCTATATCTCTGCTTTGTTGACTTGGAGAAAGCGTTCGATAGTGTGCCTCGTGAAGCTCTCTGGATGGTGCTGGGAAAATTAGGGTGCACGGGAAAGTTCGTGAGACTTCTGAGACTCCTTCACGACGATATGCAGTGCTGCGTCGCCGTAGACGGCGAACAGTCAGATTTCTTCCCCGTTACCTGTGGGGTGAAACAAGGGTGTGTGCTAGCGCCCACACTGTTTGCTCTATACTTTGCGGTGGTAGTCAAAGAGGTTCTACAAACTGTTTCTGAGGGAATCCGCATCCGTTTTCGCACAGATGGCAGCCTGTTCAACTTAGCCAGACTTAAGGCGCGCACTAAAGTCTCGTATGCACTGATCACTGAGATCATGTATGCTGATGATTTGTGCTTTCTAGCAGAATCCTCAGAAGGCCTGCAACAGCTGATGTCCGTCTTTCACCAGGCATGCTGCAAGTTCGGCCTGAAGATAAGTGTCAAGAAGACAGAAGTGATGTCTTTGGACACAAATGACCACGAGTCTCTAAGCATTATGCTTGGTGAGGATGTACTGAAACAGGTGGATAAGTTCCGATATCTGGGGAGTACTATAACATCCAAATGTGATCTTGATACCGAGATCAGCAGCAGGATCAGTGCTGCAGCTGCAGCATTTGGGAAGCTGCGTTCCAAGGTTTTCTGCTCGCATGACCTAAAGCTGGCTACAAAAATTTCAATATACATGGCGGTTGTGCTGCCAAACCTACTGTACTCCTCCGAGGCGTGGTGCGTGTATCGCCACCATATACGCACACTGGATCGTTTCCACCTCAAATGCCTTCGTACCATCATGAAGATCAGATGGTCTGATCGAGTGCGCAATACCGAGGTGCTACGACGAGCCCATGTGGGTGGCATTGAGGCCTATATAATGCGTCGCCAACTTCGATGGTGTGGTCACGTATCACGTATGACGGAGGAGAGAGTGGCGAAGCGCATCTTCTACTCTGAACTTGAGGAGGGTAAGCGGAAACATGGCGGTCAACTCCTCAGGTACAAAGATGTACAGAAGCGGCACATGAAAAGATGCAACATTGAGCCCTCTCAGTGGGAAGGTTTGGCAGCACAGCGTCCAGAATGGCGGGAGATTGTGAAAAGGCAAGTCCACGAGTTCGAGGTGCAGCGTACGACTGAACTCGACGCGAAGCGCGATGACTTGAAGGCCCGTCCATCTGCCGCCTTTCACTATAACTATGTTGGCGGCGTGCTCAGATGCCCTCAATGCGCGAGGGATTTTGCCGCGAAAATAGGCTACGTAAGCCATCTTCGGGCACACCAGCGCCGCCAAGACAGCTAGGAGTCGGAGTGGTCGCCATGGCCGAAATCGGTCGGATGGATCATCATCATCATCACTTAGCATAAAACAGACGACAAAAACATGACTTTATGAGAGAAAGTGTCCGGGTACTAAATTAATGGTCGTTGTTACAAAGTTCACGAAAGCTAGCATAAATTGGAACATGTCTCTCTTATCTACTAAAATGAAAAGTAAATGTAATTTAATGTATAATGTTTCGTTACACCACCATTCATTCTTCTCGTCTGGTCTGTTTCTAGGTTTTTCCGAAGAATGGACGATGACGGCAGCAAGCAGCTGAACAAGGAGGAGTTCATGAACGGCATGAAGGAAACTGGCCTGGAACTCAGCAACCAGGTACGCTTTGAATTTTGATTGTCTATCCTCTACCCACACTATAACTATTACTAAAGTTCCTTTAAAAGAACAAATTAGTCCTTTCTGAGTATCTACTTACCTCCCAGCTGATATTTTCTCGTAATAAACTCGTGTTTACTTAGGTTCAAATAGCTTTCCATTGCCTTATGTCGCGATAGACAATTTACCTGGTGAAAAGAAGGAAAAGTGTAATAAAAAGCTTAAACTTTGATTTAATTATTCCAGGACGCTGAGGAACTGTTTAAGCGGTTCGATACTGATAACAGCGGCTCCATCAGTCTCGACGAGTTCCTGGTTCACATTCGTGTATGTATCCCAAATGACAATAAATTCGTAAAGATATAGGATGATCAAACACAATCCCACTAACACTATTCACATGAATGTGACATACAGCTACAGCCCACTATGCAAAGGTTGCATGGATAAGAAACATCACACAACACAGCATGAGCTTACAGAATGGAAGAGTGTTACTACACTACACTACTGTCTACTGACAACGAGCAAAAATTTTCCGTTCCTCAACCTCAGTTTTGTTTCTGTTTTTTTAACATCGGGAAATGCTTTAGCGCATACCCACTGGTCGATGGGGACGGCCAGTGGGTTATGTGGGACTCTCCCCGCCTGCTCACTAAAGGCGGGGCCTACCCGCCTGTCCACTGGAGCCCAAAGAAACGAAGCCGCGAGTTTTTGTCCCAGCTCGGACATTCGTTCGCAGCTCCACTTCAAGCTAGAGGCTCGCTCACGAGCGAACCTCTCCGGCGTCGAGGGAACGCCCAATCCCCTCCTCCAGTTGTTTTTATAGAGGTTTTCTCCTCGTGGCCCTGGTACAGCACCCAGCCAGCTGTAGCGGGTTATGGTATACCGATGTCTTAGCAGCGGCGCTCAGTTAGCTCTGCTGATCAGAGAAGTACCGAGAGCGGCCCTCCAAAGAATGGGCCCGGGCAAACGCTCCGCTAGCCCCTACCTGTGGGGGTTTTTAAAGATGTCCCCTGCATCGTGGCCCGGGCAAATGCCTCGACGGCCCCGGATCTGGATCCTGTCGTGGCACTAGCGCACCCACCCTATAATTTTATCATTGTTTTGATTCCAGCCCCCTATGTCGGACTCCCGGCGAGCCATCGTGGAGCAGGCGTTCAAGAAGCTGGACAAGACTGGCGACGGCGTCATCACTGTGGACGACATCCGTGGCGTCTATGCCGTCACTTCACACCCGAGGTAAGATATACAGGGTGTCCCGTAATGTAACGTCAAGCCGGAACTGGGTGTTGAGGCAAGTTATGCTGGTTATCAGAAAAATATAAAAAAAAATCTATGTGGCATATTTTCAAAATAATGGGCATTTAAAAAAAAACAAAAATTTTTACTCCAGGTGACGGTCTTTTTACTCGTGTTGCCACAAATCTTCACTTTTTCCAAATTTTTTTTTTTTTGAAGTTCACGTAAATGACCAATTTTAAGATAAATTAGCATAAGTAGTACCAGCATAATTTTGGTTTTATTTCGATTTGTTTTATTTATCTTTGTTTATTTGTATTGTATATGGGATAGATAATAGTTAATTGACATATTTTGACAATAATCCATGAATTTTACTTGGGGAATTTGGAATAATCAGTATCACGAAACAAGGAACCGTATTATTGTTACTTTTTTCCAAGTTCGTGATATATAAATGTTTGGTGTTAGGTACTTTTATGACACATACCATCAAAGAAATCGACATATTTTTTAGTTTTTAATAGTTACCTACCTAAGAAATTAATTAATTACTTACTTTTTATTATGAGACATTGACGTATCTGGGGTTATTTTCAGGGGGGGTCTACCCTCACTTGAAACAGCTCCAAGGGTGGGATTATGGGGAGAAGTGGGGGGGGGTACAAATAACAAATAAAATTTTATGGGTACGAAGGGGGAGGGGGTAAGTTTCCCCCCCCCCCCCTACATTTCTAATGGTTATACAGGGTGTTAGGTAAATGGGTATATGAGCCGACACTAGCCCATGTTAACATGGGCATATAAATGGTATGGTAAAGTCAGAAAATTGATATCTTCGTTTTAATTATTTTAATTTTCATACAAATCGGATTTTATAAAATTTATTTTGTATGAAAATTTAACAAATTAAAATGATGATATCAAAGAAGAACGGTCATCTGTGACCCAGACCCGACAGAAACGAGACATACCTCAGTTTTTTTGTCATGTCTTAATTAGTTAAATTATATATTTTTTATATTCGAAATCTATGTATAACACCAAATTATTGCCCTTTGTTTTTGTTCAGGCGTCATACAAAAACTAATACAAAATGCCTATTTATCACCAAAATTGGTAAATGTATGTACCTGAATAGCTGATATGGAATGTATCTAGGTGACTTGGGAGATACAGCCGGATTATACAGGGTGGAAACGAGAAGTTACAAAATCCAAAAATTCAATGTTACCAGCTTCCATAATCTGTAACCTATTATTTGTGCCGTTTGAAAGAGCTTATGAAGCACTTTCAGAATCAGTAACTAGTTTTTCGATATCTTGTATAGTTTAGAAATAATCGAGTGAGATCACTTATCGTTCCATATGTATAACCATCCTGTATAATCCGGCTGCATCTCCAGGTCACCTAGATACCTACATTCCATAGCAGCTGTAATAGACATTTAGGTACATACATTTACCAATTTTGGTGATAAATAGGCATTTTGTATTAGTTTTTGTATGACGCCTGAACAAAAACAAAGGGTAATATTTTGGTGTTATACATAGATTTCGAATATAAAAAATATATAATTTAACTAATTAAGACATGACAAAAAAACTGAGGTATGTCTCGTTTCTGTCGGGTCTGGGTTTTTTTTGTATGGGGCGTGACCGTTCTTCTTTCTGACTTCACCATACCATTTATATGCCCATGTAAACATGGGCTAGTGTCGGCTCATATACCCATTTACCTAACACCCTGTATAAATATTTTCACATATTGTTAGAATTAACAAATCAAAATATTATAAGCTACTAGACTCACATTATTTCTTATGAATATTTCAGGTAAGCAATATCGTCAATTTCACATAATTATTTTATTCTTAATTTTTATTACCGTTTTTAAATTTATTAAACCCTTCATCATTATTAAAATATCCTAACTGGATGCATAAAACCTTATCCCGAAATAGGGGACATGAGTTCACGAACTTAGAAACAGAGCAAAATTTTGTCACGAAACAGGATCCAAACAAGAGGTCCGCAGAACAATTAATATAAAAAAAAGTTCAAACTATATAACTATAAATTATGTATTAACTTACTGTCAAAAGACCAAAGTTTAGCATACAAAAGCTTTCATATTGATATCATGCTTGGTTATTTTTAAATAAAATGTTAAAGTCGTAAGAGCCTTAATATACCGAAGTAGGGGGCACTTACCTTATAACTAGTTTACCACAATAGAAATTAAGAACATTTAAAAATAAAGCGTGTTTTTGCGAAAAACATTCATCATCATTTCAGCTACAGGACGTCTGCTGAACATAGGCCTCCCCCAATGACTTCCACATCGCACGGTTGGTAGCGGCCTGCGTCCAGCGCGTTTCTGCTACCTTTATATTAAATTTCGTCGTCGGTCCACCTTGTGGGTGGAAATCCCACGCAAAACATTGTAAGATGCTTATAAAGGGTCGAACCTCAGTGGAGGGAATCTAAAATATAGCTTAGTATTTATTCCACGCATAATGAAGCTAGAAGAACCTTTGAGATAATTTGTCATTGGTCAAGATATCATAAAGTTTAATATAAACCTACATAACACCGATTTTCAATTTTCAGGTACATGAGTGGCGAAGAGACAGCCGACGTCGTGATGAACAAATTCCTTTCCAACTTCGAAAAGGATGGAGTTGTTGATGGAAAGGTAAATTTCTCTTATATCTTCTACTTAAGGACTCGCTCTTGGATCAAAATAGGCTGCCCATATTGCCTACATACAAACAGCTCCTGTCAGTTCAAATTTAGCTATGACCAAAATCTTTCTCATAAGATGCCTCTCCAAACCTTCTTCTGGCTGGCGTGACTTTACAGAGTGTTTTACTCCATTAAAAAAATGAAAATGAAATGAAAATGAAATATTAAATTAGTGACAAAGCTGCCAGCGTAAAGTTTATTAACATAAAATACCATCACCTAAGGGCTAATTATAATAGATTACCAACAGCAGAAAAGCCTTCAAATATTCATTTCAAGGCTTTTCTGCCGTTGGTAATCTTCCATATTTAAATGTTTTCTCGATATTATGTTCCAGGTGACCCTCGAAGAGTTCATGAACTACTACAGCGGCATCAGCGTGTCCATCGACAACGACTGCTACTTCGACCTGATGATGCGTCAGGCCTACAAGCTGTAAACAATCAATAACCCCCTTTAGTTCTGAATCCTCATGCACAGTAATATCCTTGAGTTTGAGCCCAAGCCAAATTGTTCCCTTTTGTGGAAGAATAAGGCGCAAATGGCTTGGGCTTGCTTTGCTAAGGTGGTATTGTTTTGAGGATCGACGAATATGGGGTAAATCTTGTGACGGAACCAATAAAGACCAAGGGCCAAAGATAATCTATGAATCTGGCAGCTGATTTGAAAAAAAGTTAAAAAAAGACCTCAGTTTCCTCTAAAAGGGATGGCAGCTTGAATCTCTACCAAGTTGGGGTTTTGAGGAGTTTGCCTTTAAAGTAAATGCTCATTAGTTGTTCTGCCTCAAATGTAAATTATTTTAGCCCAAAGTTTTTAAAACGTTTCGTCACTTCACCACTTTCTCCACTCACACCACACACCTCGGAGAAGACACATCGGATGGCGGATACTCAAAGTGCACCAAATATCTATGTTTCCTATCGTTGAATAATAACATAGTTTATATTTAATTTATTTAACTGTGTGCTAATATGTTAATTTGAATTAAATGTTTATTGGTGGTATTTTCCTTGTTTATTTTATTGATGAACGTCGACCCGCCGCCAAAATAATGCGCTACAAATTAAGCGCTAAGTGATTTATTTGCAGAAAAACAAACGACCGTATAACCATAGAGGAATTATAGATTCTCTAAACGTATAATAGACATTATTTTATCTATGGTCAAAGAAATATACTTTGTGAGTATAGGTGTACCAGAATCTCATGGCAAACAAAAATATTGGAAAAGTGTGTTTTTCATATGGCCATTGTCTATGGCTTTATTGTCACCTGTCAAAGTAAATCAAGAGATCTGTCAGCCGCTGCAGAAATTTTGTAATCTCTTCATGCCTATTTGTTATTTTTGTGAAAAAGACGAAAAAACTCAAGCAAGTCATATTGTTTTCAAAGTGTATTGTAAAATAAGGCATAATTCAAAGTCAATCTTTGATTTTAAAGCGCGTCATTGAGTTGACAGTAAGTTGGAGTGAAATGTTTTGATACTTACCTACATTTAGTTTATTACCTAACTGCGTCAGAAGGAGGGTTATGTTTGGTTTTATATTATTCTTACCTAATAGCTGCTTTATCGGGGTTTTCAGGTGTATTTCATGCATTGGTGCAGAAGAATGGTGAAAATGTTATGACCATGTAATAAAAATTGAAAAAGTATTCATCAAGCAAGTTTGAGTAATTGAAATGCTGAAAAAGCGATTTATATTATACAAGGTGTCTCAAAAGAAAGTTTATATTTAGTGGATCGATAAAAAAAAAAGTAAGCCGTGTATCGAAAAAATGTTTAGTAACTATTAAAGTACACATTTTGGGAATTTATTTCTTAAAAATAATATTGTCCAAATGTAGACCCTCGCGTTCGTAGCACTCATTTAATCGAACAGTAAAATCACTTATGACGGCTCAGGCAGGTAAACTCAGTGATGGCTGCCATTTCATGACGGGTATTTTCTTTCAAATATGCCAGGGAAGTTGGTTTAGTGGCTTAAACTTTAGATTTAAGTTAATTCCATAGGAAAAAGCCCATAGTGGTTAAATTAGGACACTTTTCTTTCACGACTATAAAAATATTTTAGCAATTTAATTCACAAAATCAATTGCACACATTTAAAATAAAGTTTGTTTACACTTTGACAACAATAGACTGACATGCAAGGTGACATGTCAATGAAGTTTTCAGTTACTGTTGCCATTAAAAGAAATTAGTACCATTAGTTTTCCGCAACATGGCGAGGGTTTTTATGTTCCTGGTCAGGCTATACGACATTGAGTGCGAAACCGAAACTGCGAAGTGCGGCTAGTGCCGGTTGCAGACCAAGAGCTAAGCTAAGTTAGTTTCGTTTAGCTCGCATAGCTGATGCAGTTTCCCATAGAATTGGCATAGTTTTCAGTCTACACACGACTATGGGAAACTGCGTCAGCTATGCGAGCTAAACGAAACTAACTTAGCTTAGCTCTTGGTCTGCAACCGGTATAACACCAACTTTAACTCTGAAGATCGGCAGAAAAGGGAACTCTAGGGTTATCTGTAAAAAAGTTAGGTCCTATAACTAGCTATGGTCTAGGGGTGCCTAGATTCTAGGCATGTTCTAGGCACAGTAACATTCGTCTTGAGAGATTCCATTTATTTCTTTATAATAGCTCTCTCTGTTATTATAAATAGGAATTACTTTGCTAGCAAAGTAATTCCTATTTATTGTATAATTTGCGAAACCTACTTAGGTATTTCGTTTCGTACCTTTCAATAGATTTTAATCATCTGTAAGTTAGCGCCTCCTATTCGACTCAGAGCTCTAAGACTCAGAGTCACAGTTATGTTGGTATAGCCTGACCAGGNAAATTAAATGAAACCATCAATCGAGCTAGTAGATTTATTTTATTATTCATCAATAATCAAATTCAGAACTTGAATATTCAACTGCAATGTCTGCTCATGAACGCTTCAAACTCGGTACTTCTTTCCCAATCCCATAAAATTCAACACTTAGAAAGTGACAAAATTTTTAAAATATGTAGTTGAAACAAACCACAGCTAATTTTCATAGTGGACTGTACTATACGATAAACATGTCAGTCAATTTGACAACCTTTGTCGGAAACATTATTCAATGAAAATATTGTCCGAACCCTTAGTATTTCTCTTCGACAAATACTTTAACACATTGTGAACCACTTTTCTTTCACGACTATAAAAATATTTTAGCAATTTAATTCATAAAACCAACTGCGCACATTTAAAATAAAGTTTGTTTACACTTTGACAGCAATAGACTGACATGCAAGGTGACATGTCAATGAAGTTTTCAGTTTATACTGTTGCCATTATAGTTCCAAAATACTGAACTGTCCTGTGCATGACATTGACAGTGGGGCGCCACCGTCAATACCGGATCGCTGGTTCCGAATTTTGCCATGTTGGAAACCATATAGTTGAACGATGGTAGCGCCCCCCTGTCATTGAGTTTGGTGGGACAGTTCAGCGTGGGTCATCTATAAAAGAAATTAGTACCATTAGTTTTCCGCAACATGGCGAGGGTTTTTATGTTCCTGGTCAGGCTATAGTTGGTAGGGCGGGGTGTACCACAGAAAATAAATCAGTACGGCCTACGCATTTGGCGGGCGGCAAAAATTGTGCTTTGTTATGCTTCCACCATTCCTTGTGCGAATGTGACGAGGGACAGTTTATTCGGAATATCTGCAATTTATTGTTGGGATACTAAGTGAAATCGAGTGTTTTATCATGAATGAAGGCAATATCAATGATGACGATAATATGTATCACGATACATTCCAAGGAAAGGCTAAAACTTCCTCCAACCGTGAGTGTGACATTATTTTTATTGATGACGCTTAGGATTATTTTGTAGGATTTTACTTATTTCTCATTAAGAGCAAAGTTTTTGTGGACCTAGATTCTATAAATACAGATCTTTTAGTTCTCCTGCATTTAATTATAATAAAAATACCTTATTTTATAGCCAGAATTAGAGATAACATGTTGGATAATTGAAGGATAATATTGCGGATAATGTCCAAATTAAATTGTTAAATCCTTATTTATTTATATTTCTTTAAATTATTTGCTTGCTACCCATTCTGTCTCGCATTCCAATGGCCAATGCCGCGATGCCGGTAATGCCGGCTCATTGAATATCAATCATCCTTGAATTGCAATATCTATTAATAATGTTATTTTAGCAAAGCTAGAAATAGCTTTTAAGCATTTTAAGAGTGTTATTATTGTATCCTAATACCTAACACAAATACTATAATCGATAAACGATGACCAAACTTGGAAATTCGCGATGCACGATGGAATGTTTCAGTCTGATAGAAATTGTTAGCATGATTTAAACTAAATATTTTAATACTATTTCAATATATTATCATATTTTTACTATTTCGAGTTCATAATAAACTAGTGTATGCTCTTGGCTTGTATAAATATTTTCTTTTCGTGTAACATTAATTTTGGTTGGAGATCTAACATCTACCTACTTAGAGATTTTACTTTTGATTTGATAATTTTGATTTTGAATTAATTGGAACGTTACTTTCATGTATAGTCAGTCAGCGTCAATAGACTATGACAATAAAATTGGGATTGCATGATAGTTGCTGAAATCGGCACGAACTAACGGAAGACGGAAATTACCGAAAATTTGAAACAATCAGATCATAGAAGGGTCTTTTTTTACACAGTTGAATGTGTGTATGAGCGTGTGTGTGGGAGCTGTGGTAGGGAAAATGTGGGGACACTGGTACTCGTTGTAGTTACGCACGAGTTCATATCTATTGCCTTCTATGATCGAGATTTTACAAAACATCAAGCTGATCGATGATGCCGTACTTAGTAGGTGTAACTGCTATAAAAATTGTTAGGTCTGAGGTGGTAATTAACGATGCGAAGGTAGAATGGATCGTCTTCCGTGTTCCTGAATGACTTACAAAGGTAGGTTTAATTTGTGGGTTATATACCGTATTATGATCCACATTTTTGTGACTCCTGTAAATAGGATAGGATCGATCGACATACTGCGCAAGTCTAGCCCTAATGTCCTTATCCAGACCTTTTCAACCTCTCTGACCTGACCTAGGTAAAATGAAGGTGATTTGTTTGATGTTATAAACTCGAGTCACTTGAAAATAAATTGCTAGATGAATTTATTACTTGCGTGCAAGTTTCGTATAAAAAGTAGATATTTGTTTTCAAGACCATCAATTATTACCTTCATAAAACTGCTATAATAAAAGCAGACGAATATTACTTAACATTACATTGGTAAATTCATGGACTAAAGTAGGCCTAACAGTATGCAATTATGCATAACTATTAGGTACAGTTACTACGCGCCAATAGACTGCAGATATTTTAAACATAGTATTATTCCCGTTCACAATAATTGACATCGCTAGGCACCTGTAATATGGTTTATGTACCTAACCCCTAATTCGTTTACAAGGTTGCTAATTTCTGTTGACGTGGACTGTTCCTTGAACCTAAATCTATTTATGGTTTTAATTTAAGTCAGTCTCACGATACAAAATGAATATCTGCAATAATTTCTGCATACAAAAACAACAAATATACTCATCATGACACATATGCTGTTTTCGTGATAGCATGCCGCGTAGTATTAGTAGTATTCCGCAACAATTTTGTAAACAACAAACAACTTGTCCTTTAAAAAAGTCATTCATGTTTTGCTGGTCCAAGGGATATTGACACCGCTAAGTGGATCACTTGTATGACTAAGCAGTCGCTTACTTCTACCATGAATTCAAATGGAATATTTAGAGAGATATTCCCAAAGCTGAGCTAGGCAATTTGTAAGGCTGTGGTCTCCTATTAAACGCCTTAGGTCACGCCGAATAGTTGAGGTCTCTATCAGATGACGCGCGTCGGCGTATGGCATCGACAGGAACGTTTGACGCTGACGTCGTAGTTTTCAATTAGGAGACCATAGCCTAGATTCGGCCAAACCGATGGCGGAATGCGAATTGGTGGATGGCGAAAAGGCGATGGCGATCAGATGTCGCAACGCCGATCTATCATCATCGACGCGAACTCCACGCGTTGGTTTGACCGTAGCTTAAGCGATTTTCCGTTTTACAAATCCACAGTAGCATGGCACAGACCGATGTCGACAAGGTTCCGTCTAGAGGAGGAGCTGATTCAGCGCACCTCCCGAGCGCTGGAAGCGGAAACCGACCCTCTGGAGAAGCTGCGTCTGATGTGCCTTTCGCATGGCGCCGTCGGCATCATGGGGCTGGCCAGGTAGGACGAAGAATGTTTACTAGATAGAAAAGTGCTGTGTCCTATTATGCAGGAGTTCTGCCCAGGTGGTAGGACATAAGCGCGGGATTGTCATATGGGCAGCAAGGTTCTAGAGTGGAGGCCATGTACCGGAAAACGCAGCGTAGGAAGAAGCTAACAGGAAGGAGCTGGATGCAGGCTACCAACCGGAGTCCGGACTCCAAAATGGAAATCATTGGGGTAGGCCTATGTTCAGCAGTGGACGTCCTGTGGCTGAAATGATGATTGTTACACGTCTCATTCCATCCACTGCAGCTCCTGTGTAGTCAGGATCTTCAGTATGACAGCCAAGAATCCTAACCAGGCATGGGCACTGAAATAAATTTTATGTTATCCTCGGCGAACATGATTCATCGTGACTATACAATGTTGGATATGAGTAATAAAACTTATTGGTTGGTCTGTTAAAGGGTGTTTCGGAAAATGGATGAAGGAGGCACTGGGCGGTTGACCAAGGAGAAGTTTGCAAACTGCATCAAGGAAACTGGGCTGGATTTTAGTTACAAGGTACCTATACCTACTTATTGTATTGTTAGTCGGTCAGGGATCGTAGTCTTTTTGTGCCCTATCAGAACTTCGATAGGAAAATAAAAGTTTAACATTTTATTTTTATATTTCAGGATGCAGTAGACGTCTTCAACAAGTTCAAAAGAGATAGCAACGGCACCATCAGTCTTGACGAATTCCTGTTAAACGTTCGTGTATGTATAGGACCTGCTTATTATAAATTAGATACTGAATAGGAATTTTAGACGTAGCTCACGTAGCAGTTTAGAAAACAATATCAGTGGTTTCTATAGCGAACTCTAAAAGCAAAATTGGGTACCAGCATTTTACGTGTTGTCTCAGACCATCCATCTGTAAATCAAGCTAACTGTGACATGTATGATATTATAATATCTACTTATGAGCTATATTGCATAAGTGTATGGTGAGTACACGCACACAGTTGACTAGACTGAACACTTTATTCTGATGGTATTAACCTGGTGATTTCAGCCGTCTATGTCTGAGACCCGTAGAAGCATCTTGGAGCAGGCGTTCAAGAAACTGGACAAAACTGGCGACGGGGTCCTATCTGTGGAGGACCTCCGCAGATGCTACGCTGTGACTTCACAGCAAAGGTAAGATTTCAGATCATAGAATCCCTTCTATGATCTGAGGTATAGATCGTTTCATCCACGAAGACGCGCCCCACCAATTTTTAGTCAAGGGAAGCGCGGGTTGCGGGGAGTTTGATCCGAGCAATCCGAGCGTCATTATTGTAGTGTGCGTGTGCACTCATGGATAATTTAGCGTGTACCGATAATACTCAAACATTAGCGGAAGAATGGTGGGGCGCGTCTTCGTGGATGAAAAGATATGTAATATTGATGACCCATCAAAATTTAAAGAATGTATTCTAACTTCTACGTCTTACTTTTATGTATTAACTAGCTGTTTGGGTTCGAAGAGATAGCAATTTCGTAAAAATACAATCGAAATTAGTAATAGGCAAAAAATCTGCAGGGAGCATTGAACTATCTATCTAGCACATTCGCTAGCTAACTGACAATCAGTAGTGGCCAGCGTTGCCAGTTTTTTTTTCGCCAAGTCGGGACTTTGGTACTTTTTGAGTGAAAATAGCGGGATTCTTCCGTCAGAAGCGGGACATAGTAAAAAAACGTAAATAATCAAAGGTTTTCAAATATTTATCTTTTTATTCGACTTAAAATTACGTTTACGTGACAATAATAGATAGCAAAAGTAGCCATAGAAAATGTAGGTATTTTAACAAAAAGTAATATTTTAAATCAGATTTACGCTATCGTTAAATTCGTCTTTAGAATAAAAAAAGAAAAAAAAAAAACAAAAATCGAAATAAAAAAATATTCTTTAGAATAATATCAACTTGTTATTATTCTGTGATAATAAGGCGTTTCAAACAATAATCTGGTGAAGTGAGTGTCTCTCTCCGAAAAGCGGGACCGAGCCTGTCCCGCGCGGGACATTGAAATTTGATTTAAAAATCGGGACGTCCCGCCAAAATCGGGACGTCTGGCAACGCAAACATTTCGCAAATGTGCCACTAGTCACTAGTGGCACATTTGCGAAATGCTTACACCTAAGTGCTTCAACAATTGAAAATAAATCATCAAACTGATTCCTACTGTCTTTTAATTTCCAGTTACATGTGCGGCGAAGAGACCGCTGAATTCGTTATGGACAGGTTCCTTTCCAACTTCGAACAAGATGGGATCGTGGACGGCAAGGTGAATTTCTTGCTTTTAATTTGACTATTTTCAATCTTAAAGAGCTTTTGTTTGTTATTGAAAGCCTTCTTAAGAACGAACTAACCAAGGGTGCTGTGAATATGTAGTGCACCATGCTTCTTTGTTCTTATATCGTAAAGTGTAATTTCGATCTTTATGTTTACGTTTGGATTCATTTTGGTTCCGTCGATTGGAAACTGATATCAATATCAATAATAGATTTGAACTTGTGATTAAAATTGAATTTCAGTGCTTGAGCCAATCACCTCGGGCTTGATCCTATTCTTGAGTATGATCCCAGTCTCAGTTTTGATACAATTTCTTTGGACGATAATTTCAATTTACCTTTTCTTTCAGGTGACTCACGAGGAGTTCATGAACTACTACAGCGGCCTCAGCGTGTCCATAGACAACGACTGCTTCTTCGATCTGATGATACGTCAAGCCTACAAGCTGTAAACTTGTTCTAGTGACCAAAAAAGAAGACCACGTGCAAAATTGATGGGATCTAGAAATTAATAAAAAAGCTAACATTCATTTTCAATGTCTTTGTATAAAATTCCAATAAAACTAAAAAATATTAGCTTGCGGATAAATTCTGTCCCATTTAAAAAATATTTACTTGATTTGAACCATTGAAGAAAGAAACAGCCTGTTCTGCCTCAAATAAGTCGATAATTAATATTGTCATAATACTACTACGTCTTGTATTAATAAAACATAATCTACTTGTAATAGGTTACATGCTGAATGCAAATTTTAGTTGGGCTAATGTTAATTTATTTAAATTAAATTTTATTGTTACTTAAATTGACTTTTATTTCATACCTATGTAGGTATATTCAGAAAAAGCTGCAAGCCTTTCACTAGTTTATTAGTCACAAGTTGTAAAATTAACTTGTCAAATGTTTTTTTTATACTTATTACCTATTTGCAACATAGATTCAATCCTAATAAGGCCATATGGTGGAATTCAGTTTTGTCAGAGAAAAGTCGAGTTTTATCAAAATCCCCTCATTAGATCTTGCGTGTTAACCCATTATAGACTAGCGGTCCCATATGGTACCACTTTGTGTGTTTTAATTTGGCTCTATACATTAAACACGTGAAAAGATGCAGTGCTCTCATTGATGCAAATCGTAGCCAATAGATATGGTCTATGCTTATAGGAAAAAAAATTGACAGTTATTCTTATCAGTTGTGTGTAATTGATGATTGAAGTGAGCGCATCAAAATTTTCTCTTAAAAATTGACGCGCCATAAAAGTAAGTGATCATATTTTTTTTGTGTGATAGTGAAATACTGATTTTGTTACAATCTTGTATTCTCTATAAGTGCTTTTATTGTGAAATGGTGTAAAATTACGTCGATAGGTAATAATAATGGGAAATATTGTATGTCAAAATTACTGGTACCGTACGGTACCGCTAGCCGCTTACCGTGTCTTTTTAATTATTTTATTATTTTTAGTGTTTACTGTATTTATTGGGAAGTATGTGATATATTCAATGGTATTTATGGTATACAGGAAGATAAAGTAAAATAGTTTTCTATACTTTACAAAACCATGGGTTTTTATTTATTTTAGATGTAACTTTCACAAACATTGGCAGTTTTGGAGGACGATGAAGGTCCCAAGACGAAGCAGAAATTTATAGAATGAACTCAAGATAATTGCAACTCTCGAACAATATCAGAGTATAGAAAATTTAACGTGGGGCTTTGTGCAGCGTGCAATGCCAAGCTCCATTCCAAATTTTTGAATATTCAAAGATAAAAATGAATATTGCTGACCCAATATACAGCTTTTTTACATGTAATATCATTCCTGTTATTTGCTTGTTTAATAATACATATTATAATAATAATAAAATATACAGGGTGTCCCGTAATGTAACGTCAAGCCGGAACTGGGTGTTGAGGCAAGTTGTGCTGGTTATCAGAAAAATATAAAAAAAAATCTATGTGGCATATTTTAAAAATAATAGGCAATTAAAAAAAAATCAAAAAATTCTACTCCAGGTGACGGTCCTTTTACTCGTGTTGCCACAAATCTTCACTTTTTCCAAATTTTTTTTTGTTATGTAACCCTGAATAATGCTTCTCTAAATTGTTATCAAAATTACAAAACCAGCTGCTCCAACTTGGATGAAAAAAATACATTATTCCCAAAAAAAATATCAAAATAAAAATTTTACCTAGTTTAAACTGACTGTACTGAAAAAAAATTGTACTACGCGAGTGTGGCAAGTGACGTCATAATTTGGCGCATTTAGTAAGGATTCCAAAATGGTATAACACTTTGTAAAATCTTGCTGTAATTGTCGACAATTTTTGTTTATTGGAAATAATCCCGTTTTTAACTTTATCTACCTTGGTTAAAAATATTATTCTAATGTGCCCAAAATTTAAGTTTCTGGCTTAAGTGAGGTGGAGAAGCCATTTTAAAAGGTATGAGCGGGACGGAGAGGGCCATCTTACCAAGCAGGGATGTTATGGATATCCGTAACCGTAACCGAAACTATCGGATATCCGAAATAAAAAAATGTCCATAACCGTAACCGAAACTGATTCAAAAGTTACGGATAGTTTCGGATAAAGGCCAAACTGCAAAACTCTATGAAATCTGCAGTATACACGCCGCAGCTGCAATGCCGCGCTGCCGATTTCATAGTTTTGCAGTTTGCGGTTGCAGTTTGCGGTCTGCGGCCCGTCTTGGAATTGTACCTTAAATCTTAATATTTGTTACCAACTTGTCTGGCATTCGCTGGCACCATCTAATATGCCAGCCTGTTTTACCTTTATCATACATAGGTGTCGTCTTAGTTGGTACATAAAGTAGCTATGTGGGTCACGCTCACGCAGCATCTTGCTATTTGTATTATACCTACATTTTTGAAATTCTAATAATTCCGTAACCGAAATTATCCGAGACTTTCGGATAATCTGAAATGATTTCATATCCGTGACCGTAACCGAAACCGGTATAATATTATTCTAATATCCGTAACCGTATCCATAACCGAAACTTCATATCCTTATTATCCCTGTTACCAAGTACAAGTGCAGGCAGAGCAGGTAGTAAAGGCGCGCGCGCACGGGTGACTTTTGTCACAGTATGTCAACTACTAATTACTGTCATGGTGACAAAAGTTTCTGTGACTGACTGTACGGTAGTCAGTCACAGAAACTTGAATTTTGGGCACATTAGAATAATATTTTTTAATCAAGGTAGATAAAGTTAAAAACGGGACTATTTCCAAAAAACCAAAAATTGTCGACAATTACAGCAAAAATTTACCAAGTGTTATACCATTTTGGAATCCTTACTAAATGCGCCAAATTATGACGTCACTTGCCACACTCGCGTAGTACATTTTTTTTTCAGTACAGTCAGTTTAAACTAGGCAAAATTTTTATTTTGAAATTTTTTTTGGGAATATTGTTTTTTTTTCATCCAAGCTGGAGCAGCTGGTTTAGTAATTTTGATAACAATTTAGAGAAGCATTATTCAGGGTTACATAACAAAAAAAAAATTTGGAAAAAGTGAAGATTTGTGGCAACACGAGCAAAAGTACCGTCACCTGGAGTAGAATTTTTAGATTTTTTTTAAATGCCTATTATTTTTAAAATATGCCACATAGATTTTTTTTAATATTTTTCTGATAACCAGCACAACTTACCTCAACACCCATTTCCGGCTTGACGTTACATTACGGGACACCCTGTATAATTAACCCAATTTTTATAAAGTCCATGATAAAGTTATGTTTTAACCAACTGACACGGTAAGAGGCTAGCGGTACCATATGGTACCAGCATTTTTTTTCCAGATTACAGGTCGAATAATTTTTTTAATGCTTGTATAGCATTATGTAGACCATAATTATGAACACATTTCAAAAAAACAAAAATCTGACACTTTAAGAAAACTCAGTCTATAATGGGTTAAAGTACAATATTCTGTGGTAAGAGTAACTAAATCTATCCATCCATCCTCTAAGAAGGAATTAGCAACAACATAATTTATCAACACATTCTGGGCCTAAACAATGGCCTAAACCGTTTGTTCCGTCTCACGTAAAGTAGCAGGAGAAAAATGTTGAACGACAGAATGTGGGTGGGAGTCCCACCAGTGGGACAATAGGCAAAGTTGCAATGTCATAAATGCTACACGCTTTAAATCCATTATAATATTGTTGGCAACAAATTATTTTGCGCAACATTTGACGCTCAACATTTGCGGCAACAAAACGATTTCGCAACGTTGCTAGATGAACAACTTCTACAATGTTGCCGAACATGTTGCGCGTCAATTGTTGCAGACGGGCACTGTATTACAGTAATTGAACGCAAAAAAATTAAATAATAAGATGCATTACACCGGGCAACATTATTTTGCATACGACAACAAACATTTGCGGCAACGTTGCAGAACATGTTGCACGTAAACGCCAAGTGACGTTCGATATGTTGCACAGCAATATGCGACAGAAAATGATGACCAACAAGTTGTTCGGAACTTAGCACAAACAACGTTGCCAACAATGATATTAGTTGCCAAATAAAAAATCGCTTTGACTTTCAACTGAGCAACATGTTGTGCGCCAATTGTTGTCCAGGGGACACAGCCCAAAACAAAGTTTGTTTACCAAACAACGTCATCATTACACACCCACTTGTAGATAGAAGGAATGGAATGGAACTTATGAAACATCATAATGGAAGGGGTAACCCCTGTAGAAGATTCTGGAAAAACGGGATCGTTCGTTAGTCACGAGCTCTACACGAGCGACGCATCTGACGTAACGAAAATACGTAATAATGGCGCGGTAATCGTCCTTTGGTTGCTATCGAAGGGCGAATCGGCCCCTCCCCGCTTCTAGAAAGTTCTATTTCTTATCGAATGTTCGAGGACGTTCGAGATTGTTCTAGAACATTTTTTTATTGTTAGGTAAATTATTGTTCTTAGCGTTCTTAGCTTGTGTATTGGTTTTAGAAGACAGAATCTTACATAACAATACAAATTCCTTCTGGATTAGATATCACACATCACTTTAGACAAGGGTGCATTGACTTTTCAAGTTCAGTTGGGCAGACAACTGCGTAGTCTGCCGGCTTTGCCGCAGTGCCGGCCGGCTTTCATATCAGTCGGTTGCTGTATTTCGCGACCCAAACACGTCCTTCCACTGCCAAAAATTGACAGTCAGTTGTCAGTTGTCAATTGACAAACGACGAACGTGTGTTTATTGTATTTGATTGACGGAACATTTATTGTGAAAACTTTACTATGGTGGACGACATGTATCTTGGAAAGGCTAAAACGTCTTCGAACAGTGAGTATTTTTCCATTGTTATTTTCGTTATTATAGTTGCAAATTCTGGTAACCGGCGGTTTCTATTTAATTTTTTAATGATAAGTAATGTAATCTTTGACAAATTTTATTTATCGAAGGTACAGTCAGTCGGTCAGCATCTAATAAAAGAAATTTTGTAGTGAATTTAAATGATCGTGATCAATATTTTGTCTGAAATGGCTTTATTAATCCAATGTATTAATCTAAGTTTACTTACATTTTGATCGATTTATTTACTTTCTCTAGTAATGTTAGTTATCTCAAAGATAATTAATTAACATAGGATAATACTTATTCCGGTTCTGGGTCCGGGTGTCGCAAAGGGGGTCCGACACATAGCCGAATTTTCGAACACATTTTGTATGGAGCCGACACTTTTGACGGATTTAGTATGGAGTTCAGACATGGAAAAATTTTCAACTTTTTAGTAGTTTGACCGATGCAATGTGCTGAATGAAATAGGGGTGAAAATAAAATGATACTAAAATACGGGGTGAAAGTATTCTCTTTTACTTATATATGTTTAAGTAGGTACCTACCTACTCGACTGAATACCTTTTCATTGATTGGGTCAGGTGATTAGGTAGGTTTATTACTGAAACGTCTAAGAGATAGCGGAAATTCATCATTTGTGTTAGGTATTTTTGAAAGAAATAAGTAAATTATTATGTATCGACTAAAATCTAAGTAACCCCTATCCAAGTCTAGACCGTCTTAGGAATGCAAGTGCCGTAGTCCGTAGAGCGTTACATTGCATGCATGACATGCCATGCATCATAAGACCACATGGTGAGAAAATTGACGCCGCCTTTTCCTTTAGTTCTATTCTATAATTTTAAAAGAGAAATAAATTCGTTGCATGTAAAGAAGTTTGTAAACTAACTTTACTATTTACGATAGGATACTCTATTCCAGGGTTTCCCAATTTTTTTTTGCCAAGGAACCCTAATTGATTATACTTTTCCTAGCGGAACCCCCATACTACTCCGCCCGCACGCCCTGTGCGTAAACAAGTCGGTGCGAGCGAACAACGTCGGTCACGAAACGTGGGATAATATTTTTTACGGAACCCTTGCGGGCTGCGGCCTTTCCACGGAACCCCAGGGTTCCGCGGACCACCATTCGGGAACCGCTGCTCTATTCAACACGTGGGTCGTTGCTTGAAGCAAAATAAGCGAAGTGTAGGAGGCAGTGGATCGCAAGCACTTCTTTTGAAAGCACTGCGTTCTAGTGGGAGGCATGACATTCTTAAGGTAGTGCTTAAAGGCATGCCATGCCACAAGTTGTCCCGATTGGCGTGGGACGTCCCGATTGTGAGGGGTAGAATTATTTTCATTGTTTCTCGCAAAACTGAATTCCAAGTTCGATTGCGGATTCGAGTTCGAATGGAAACCGAGTTTCCGTTGTTTTTATCATTCATCCCCAAAGTTACTCGTGGGGAAAGAAATGGCTAACGAAAAATCGCAAAGAGCACCGCGTTAGGTGTGGTATTGTTACCAAAAAATATTGAGTTACTCGTGAATATAATACGGCTAAGAAAGATCGCAAGGAGCACTGCGGTATAGGGTGGTATAGGTGTGGTATTGTTAACAAAAAAATATTTTTTGCCGTGCCTGACACGGTCAAGGTGTAAAATGGCGCAGTGGGCATTGTCCGTATTACCTATTGAAGTTTTCTAACGCAGTTTGTTTACAATGAGTAGGCTGACTCATTGGAATTTAATCATTTTAATATTTTAGGGAGCCTGAGCTTTCGTGCGCTAGCAAATCGGAATTTAATGAGAAGGGCGGCCTATGAAAGACTAACTATAATCTGTCCATTATTAAGTAGCAATTGAGGAATGAATACAATATAATTGATTACTCGTTCTTACACGACAACTTAGCCATTACGGGTTTACTGGTATAGCAACCACCGGTAATATTAAATTCGTTAGATAAGCTTAGATTAAATATAAATTTTTGTAAAACTAAAGCTAAAGCACCAAAGTAAGAACAGTTTAAAAATATTATCTACCTTAAAGTACTAGTGGGAAAAGAGGTTTTATTGAAGTGTTAAAAAAAATCCATTGTTGGTCACTTGAAATTGGTATTGTGGAATGGGATCGATGCAATGCCCATGTCCTATCCTATGATCCTCCCAAGATGTATCGACATCTAGGTTTATCTGTTACTGGCTAGGTAACATAACGAGTGCGAACTTTTGAACTAGCTAGTCAAATTCAATAATGCGTGTACTTATGCATTATGTAGATAGACTAATGTTTCGTTCGAAAGGGCTGCCTTGACAACATTAGTTTGTTGTAACGTTGATTGTCGTTGATCTATGCAATAGGCACCTGCCTTTCAATAACTCCATAGATTTCGAGTAAAAATATTGATGTCCATTTTTATTTTGTAGGATTTGTAAAAAAAAAGAAAGTTGCATCAACTAGGTTACTTTTAAAGTATCCTTTTAGCCTTCTGGTAGATCCGGAAGACCGGATAGAAATTGAGGGCTTATAGTTATCAATTATCATACTAAAAATGTTTTTTTCTTTATGATGGAGAAAATAGGAATGAAGTTACTTGCGATTAGAAAAGGGCTAGGCTATGTTCCTGAGGGAATTAGACCGGCCCATTGCGCATGCCCTGCCCTAATAACCCAGACAGAACGTATCGACGTCTGGAATCTAGATTAGTCTGAAACTAGGTACAATGAATGTGACCTTCAGTCGAGTCATAATATGTTATTGTTTGTCTTGGAATTGTTGGAAGGTGGGTCTTGTTTGTTATTTTTATGTTCGTCTCAATTAGGTGGGCACTGAACGAATTTAGGTCCATTAGGTATACGAAAATAGAATAATGTCGTAATTATGTTATGATGTTTAAACAATAATACTTACTACTGTAAAGTTTTGTCAAAATCCGTTCAGTAGCCTAGCTTTTGTATGAAAGAATAACTAACATAGGTAGTGATACATAGGCGTTACAGAGGTGACAGAAGGTGTTACAACATCTACTATACATCCATCCTCACAAATTTTCAAATCTATAAATTCAGTAGGATATAGATAGGATAAGGATAGGATAAAGAGATTTTTTTAAAATACTAATGTATGTTACCTATTCATGATAAACATTAGTATAAATCAAATAATTAAAGATCCTTATGACACATTATCCTATCCGCAGTTGCATGGCACAGGCCGATGTCGACGACCTTCCGGGAGGAGGAGGAGCTAATGAACCGCTGCTCCAGAGCCCTGGACTCGGCCACCGACCCGCTGGAGAAGCTGCGGCTGCTGTGCCTCTCACACGGCGCTGCTGGCATCATGGCGCTGGCTAGGTAGGTCTGAGACCAGGTGGCACTAGCAGACGTCATTCTTGCCATTGGATTCATTGGATACTGCTTGAAACGCTCTTAAATTAGCCAACTACACTTAGAAGTAGCAGTAGCATGGCGCTGGCTAGGTAGGTCTGAGGTCAGGTGGCACTAGCAGATGTCATTCCCGCCATTGGAATCATCGGATATTGCTTTAAACGCTCTTAAATTGGCCAACTACACTTACGCCTGTATTCACAAACATTACTATGAGGTCTCACAGTGCACGTGGACGCACAGGGTCACACACGAACCCATCACAAAGCTCTATTCAACGCAAGCATCGTTTGTGAATACGGGCGTTAAAAATGCGGTGACATCATGGTATCTAGGTACTGGATAATTTCTGCTCAATTCGCCATTAACTGTCTATCGACTCTTTGGAAAAGCCATTCTCTCACGCTGCTACTAAGGGATTTTGGCATTGCGTCACAATCATTAATTTCCTCATTTAGGGTGTGTTAAGCAACGTTTGATTTGTGTACCTACCTAATCAGTTGATTTGATAATGCTTGCGTGATTAGGTACTAAATTGTCTTTTTGCACGCCGTAAATTTTCCGTATTTACAATTTACCTGCGACGTGACATCAACCAAAGCGGTGCCACGGATGAAGGTTGTATTTTGAGCTGTAAATAATGTGAATTACCTAATTTAATGTATGATTAATGTGGTTGTTTTTTTTTTCAGAGCCTTCCGAAGAATGGAGATTCAAGGCAACAAGAGACTTAACAGAGACGAGTTTGTGGAGAGCATCAAGGAAACTGGGCTAGATTTCAGTGACGAGGTATAATTCGACATGTTTTTTGGGTTTGGCCTGCACTGAATTTTGCTTTCTTTAGGTAAGGACAAACTTTCAGAACGCCAAGAAGATTTGGTTTGTGATTTCAAAGCATTTAGATGGTAATAGACGCAATTCAATTCAATTTTACCTATAATTCTGCATCCTTAAGTAAACTTAATAAAGCATTGAAGGGTAACCGTCTGATTCAATAGAATCAAGTATACTCAAGATCAAGTAGAAGTTTAGATGGTAAAATAATATTACATTGAATTGTACTGTAATTTTATTATTATATCACTGAGCGGACATTTGCTTACAGACCGGGACTTCTACAGATTTGTTTGGGACATGTCCCGGTGTGTCGGGACATAAGGCAGCCCTACTCTAGGTATTCTGTGCAGCCACAGCAATGTCGCCATTGAGTTCATAAGGTCGGTTTTATTTAAGCACTACTTGCACTATTTTGTGAAAGTCTGGTTTTACACATTATGTACCTACCCGTAGTTCACGTCAACATTATAAGGTAAGTTTTATTTAACGTCTATTTGCGAATTTCGCTTGCGGGACCGAACATCTGCCACATCCACAAATATTGGTATGTATCGATCGCTACCTGCGTTTACGGTTTATGTGTACGATTTACCCTATTCTGACCCTAAATAACAAGTCCATTACATCGTCTTTGTCGAATAACGACAAATCGACGACGATCGGTTGATAAAAAGAACACTTCAGAGACGTGCAGCTACTGAGTTAGAATAATCACATCAGTCGGTGTTTGATTCTGTAGCTTCGATATGTTTTATGAATTTTGCAAAATTAATAAAATGTTATTCAAAGGAGCTACTTTAGAGTACCTACTTTAATGCCCAAAACTGATTTTGACGGATGGAGACATGCGAGCGACGTTGTTCGACGACAACAACGATTTTTCACGGAATGCCCTATGATGCCATAGGGTAGGACCACTAGACAAAACATCGGGACAAAATTTCCTTACGAATTAATAAATACTTAGGCGAATTGATCTATCCATCTCTATGCATGATGTGAGTAATAAGTAGTAAAAATATTGTATTTAAGTAATTAGTAACGCCTCCTCCTATCAATGACCGAGCTGGGAGTAGAAACAACAGATTTTCTTCTTATTTAATGGTCTTGATTATATTTTTTCAGGATGCAATGGAACTCTTCACCAGGTTCGATAAGGATGACACCGGCTACATTGTTCTTGAAGAATTTCTGAGTGGTATCCGCGTAAGTACCAATATTCTATTCTTGCTATTTGGCCTATTTGTGCTACTGACACTATTGAAAAAGTTTTAATTAAGTAGGTGAGTACAGTACTTACCGCAGTTCCAGCTACCCATTTCCGTTCTCTCTAGCTCTCATCAAATGGTGATTCTTTGCTATAGAAGAGACAACATGACTGACCGAAAATGGGTATCTGAACTGAAACGGGAAATGGTTGTACTCCTGCAGTCTCCAGGTCATTTATACGGCCATGATGAGAATGTTGTCGTATTGGACTCCGTTTTAACCCCTTAAGGTTGGAGTTTTGTAAAATCCGTTCTTAGCGAATGTCTAGACCCTATAAGGAATCTACCTGACAAATTGCAAGTTTGTAGATGTTATAGTTTCTGAGATTTTGTGATGAGTGGGTTGGGTGACCTTTCGCTTTTATATTTATAGATTGTCTTTTCTTTGGTGTCTCCAGCCCCCCATGTCGGACTCCCGGCGAGCCATCGTGGAGCAGGCGTTCAAGAAGCTGGACAAGACCGGCGACGGCGTCATCTCTGTGGACGACATCCGCAGAGTCTACGCCGTTACTTCGCATCCGAGGTGATCAATGTTTAGATATACTTAGTTGTTGCAATTCACGAAGGCGAGTGAGCTTTACGTATTGTGTGGTGGCTCGCTACTGTTCTTGTTTCAAAAGTTTTGATACACATTACTCTATCGTTATGTGCAAGTACACGTACACACACAAGTAAAGCTCACTCGCCTTCGTGAGTTTCAAGAACTTAAACTACAACTTATCTAAGTATAAGAACATGACGTCATTCTGGCTGGCTTAAAAATTGAATTTATTCTCCAGTTTTCAATAAGATTTTTAGTTAGTTGCTTTAAAAAGTGGATCAAATGCAGAATAACGATATCGTCTACTAGTATGCTACCTACCCTTGCACATTAAGATAAGATAAGACTTTATTATATTTACATTAGGCGCTACTTCTTTTTTGTCCTAACCAAATCCTCAGTTATTTAGGGTCGGCTCTCCTTGTTTGCGGCGCCAGGACAATTTGTCCTGGGTCCTGTTGCATTGCATTACTTCGGTCTTTCGTGGTACCATTACCTTTTTTTTTACTATGGCAGTAATATCGTTACTTCAACACAAGCATTTTCGATTATCAGATACATGAGCGGTGAAGAAACTGCAGACCTGGTTATGAGCAGATTCCTCGCGAACTTTGAACAAGACGGGATCATAGATGGAAAGGTAAAATATTTATAAAATATGATTTTAGATACTTTCACGTCAATATTAATTCAGTTAACTAAAAAGTGACGTCTCACAAAATCTAGAGGAGAATCGCATTTTAGCAGCTAAAAAAAATGAAAGTTGACTGTGATCACCCTCGTGCTAACTAAACTAGCCTATAAAATTTTACAACTGTGAAACCACGTTGGCACGACGGCACTTCAAGCTCAACACTGTAGGATCTTATGTAGTTCTAATAGGTACTATATTCCAACAAAAATGATTTGATTTTTTTATTATTAACATTTATTGAATAAATAATACAAAATTGTTTCTCAGTTGCAATATTTAATTTCAAACACAAAGTACAGTCACATTAACTGAGCAAGTAACTCCTACTTATTAACAGTAATGATTCACATTCAGTTAATAACTTGAATTAATTTCGAAACTTCCTATATTTATAGAAAAATATTATGATGCTACCTATTACAGTAACACACAATGTTACAATATTATTATGACATTTATTATTTATATGGAATCCATGATCGTAATCAGGTAACGAACAGTACTACTGATTACATATATAAGTTAAATGTGTAAATATACATGCAAGGATTGTGTATAAAGGTCGTAAATGCTCAGCGAAATGCGGTCAGAGAAGGAAATGTTACGACATTCGAAGTATTCTGACTAGCTCGCGCCGGCGCCGGCCTACACTGCCGAGCGCGGCCAGCCTACACTGCAGTGCACCGCACGCTGGCCGTACACTGCCGAGCGCGTGGCCAGCCTACACTGCAGTGCACCGCACCGCGTCGCTGGCCGTACACTGCCGAGCGCGCGGCCAGCGTACACTGCAGTGCACCGCACCGCGTCGCTGGCCGGCGCACTAACTACTAACCATTTGGCTCATCGTTGCACTCCCGCGCACAATCAAAATAACGAAAACTTATTATTGCAAATATTACATTACATGGTAAACGTAACCCCATACCTCTAAGTACTAATCGATTAGTTTAAGAGCTTCATACGACCACTATCGTACACTCGAGACGCTAGGCCAATATCTACAAAAGTTTCATGTCCCCAATGTACACACGCACGCATCCACTCGCACGAATGTGCCCACTCGATCAGATCTAATCTCGGATTTATAGTTCGATTCAGTAGTTTTGACAGATTGTCTTTTGAATACGAAAACTACTGATTCGAGACAAAATTCAACTATAGTTAATAATAAAACACCATCCATCCGCACTCGCGCAATTTCGCATCCCAAAAGTAGCAACTACAGTATTTAGAACGAAACAAATATGTACAAGTCTTAGCGAAACTAAATACAGAAACGTAACTCGCCGTCGGCGTGTGATGCGACTCGTTGCGGCTACTCTCGCGAACAATAAATACATAATTTACATTTACATCTACAAGCCCGGTCGCGGCCCGGGCGTAAGCGACCCGCCCCACAAAACTTACATCATCTAATTTAAACCAATGTAATTTTCAGAATTCTGTTTAAAACATTCTCAAAAATGGCGCACACATTTCAGTTGAGCATTCGTTTACATAAATAAGTACAAGATCGGGTTGACGAATCTTAATTATTAGCTGAATCCTTATCGACGTACTTATCTATTTATAAACGAACGCTCAAAGGCTAGGCAAATTTCCAGTCAGTCCATCCATTCTATAGCTCGAGAGCCCAGAGCCCACGCGGCACCGCGCGGTCCAGGCCGCCGAATTCAGTAAAATAACAACAGGAGAATAATAATATCTTCACACCTAGCGCCGGGATATTGGATCCACACGAACGTTACACTACTTCAGGGATGGCGAACCTTTATGTATCAACGTGCCACTTTTCCGAAAAAAATGCTTGATAAAGTCTTAGACGTGCCATCAAATATCACCTAATGCTATCAATGAGGGGTATAGTACAAGTGGTGCCACTGGCGAGCGACATGACCTTACTCAACAGTGGCACTAACTGATGAGGGCAAATACGATAGCCCTTATATGTATAAAACACATTATTTTATAGTGAATTTTGTGATAGGTGGGCGTGCCTTAAATATTGTGGCGCGTGCCATTGGATCGCCATCCCTGCACTACTTTAATATCAGTCCGCGGGGCGGGCGGCGGTAAACAGAAGGTGGTGCGCTCAGGACGCATACATGCGCTTGATGTCGTCCTTGTAGCGCTCCTGTATGTCCTTGCGCTTGATCTTGAAGGCGGCCGTGACCAGCCCCATGTCGGGCGACCACACCTCCGTCACCAGCTTCACGGCCAGCGGCACCTCGAAGCGCTCCAGACCGCCTGCGGATTTATATTTATTTATTTTTATTTTTCTTTATTAAGGAAATAAACAGCATGCGTTTATACATGTGACCTTAAAAATAAAAACAGTACAGTAGCCTAATCAGTTTCCACAGATAAACTTTACAAGTTAATCGAAAGTTATGCAGAGTGCGAGCAATTTAAAATCACAAAATATAAAAAAAATGCACAACAAAACTATATCCTTATAATCTTTGTTTCAAAACGCAATTTTACACTACATTGTTATATTATTTATGAAATTGAAAGGGGATGATGGGAATAGCAATGCCATGGGCGTCGTTCTGAGGTTAAGGGCCCTTACGCCTGAAAACTGAAACCCTTCGTATTCTTGCTTTCCTGTTTTCTACTATTTGTCCTCCACTGGCTGACATCGAGAAAAGAAGTTACGATTTACGCAAACGGGGAATGAATGGTAGGGCCAGCGGAAATCCACCGAGAAGCCACGGTTTCCGAATCGATCCGAAATAAAAGCTAATGCGACTTCTTGGCGCGAATATTAAGCGTCATGTTAGCAGTTTTGTTTAACTTTGTAATATTAGTGTTTGGACGACTATTAATGTGTAATAATGGTGGATTATTAACCATTAAGTGCTCGTGAACATGCATGAGTGTGGGCAAGTGAAGCAAAACAGTGCAGCGTGATTCTTCGGATTCTCTCAAGTAGCCCATATGAAGTCTCAGTAAAGCACCACAACTTTACCCTTTGGGTAAGGGGTATCATCTATCATAATGCATTATATCTTTAATTAACCCAAGTCCCATCCCACTTGGTCCCATTTTGGCATGATCAAAATGGCACATATCAAGTCGGCCGACGTGTATTGCCAACATCAAAGAAGAAGAAGAAAAGCTAAGGGTGTACTCACACTTGAGCGCGTGGTCGGCGAGCTCGCGCAGCGCGGCCTTCTCCACGGCGGGCGCGCGGCACAGCTGCTCGAACTCCATCGGCGGCAGCCCCTCGCGGGCCGCCAGCTCCTGCCAAATCACAATAATACATTAGAAGTCATTCAAATGATAAGATAAATGCTCGACGATAACTATGGTAATAGTGTAAATTAAATTTCGTCAACGGATTTTCACGACACAGCGTCAGGGGTTAAAATGATAATTCCGTAACTGGACTAGGATGGTATAAAATTACACTGAACTGTCCCACCAAATTCATTGACAGAGAGGCGTCACCATCGTTCAACTTTTAGTTTCGAACTTAGCAAAAATCGGAACCAGCGATCCGGTATTGACAGTGACCCTGTCAATGTCACTGATGGGACGGTTCGTTGTATAGTCTGGTCTGCGAGCACGTAGAATTTTGTCCATTGACCCCAAGCTACCCATCCTTATCGCTCGCGCGTAATTATATTGCTGTCGCGACTGTGCGACGGGCGCCCGCAGTGAGTGTGCGAGCGCGACAGCAACATAATTACGCGCGAGCGATAAGGATGGGTAGCTAGGGGTCATTGGACAAAATTCTACGTGCTCACAGACCAGACTATAGTTGGATAATACATAAATCAACTCTGTCAGTGACTATTTCTCTCGCTTTGAAAAGGCCCGGATCATAATGTTCGGAAAAGACAGCAGCAGGTGTAAAGTGAGTTTTATGGGTTGTTTACCTGCAAGCGCTGCGGGTGCGGCACGACGAGCGCGACGGTGTAGGTCTTGGTGGAGTCGCCGTAGACGCAGATGTTCTCGACCAGCGCGCACGTCTTGAGCTCGGCCTCCACCTTGCCCAGCGACACGTACTCGCCCGCCTGCAGCTTCACCAGGTCCTTCTTGCGGTCTGCGGGGACACACGCACGTTTAGGATACACCCATACTTTGTTGAAGCCACGATAGCCGCACGGTGAAGGGGTCGGACTGGCCGACTCGTGATCGCCGTCGCTCGACTGTTGTGGTGAGCTCATTCGTGATACAAGCATATTTAGCTTAGTACGAGAAGCTAACGGGAGTATTAGTAATTTGTATAATAACAAATTGCTAATAATCTTTAAAAAAAACATTAAAATTGCCCACTCCAAGCGACATCAAAGATTGGATCAACTACTCAATTTGCACATCATATCAATAATACGAAACTCCCGAAATACAGCCGCTCGTGCCAGACTTTTTCGGCTAGACAGAGTAGGCATCTGCAGAGGGAAGTTCTTTAATTTTGCAATGCTTTTTTAATAGCCCTCCAAACACATTTTGATATAGGAGGGGCTAAGGCACGCTACGCCACTGACATTCACATTTGTTATAATGCATTTATGAGATAACATAGCGAATAAAGTCGTCGAAAAAGTTTAGTACTCCCTCAGTTACCTAGTACATTGAATAGTAAAAGAGTGTTGTTGAATGCACAATTTCACCAAAACTTTTCAGTCACAATAAATTACAATCTTACAACCTTTGAAATAAGAGTCAAAATCAATAAAAATGTGGAAACTCAATGGAATATTTCACTAAGATGTACTGACCGATGATCTTGATGCATCCGTCGTGGTGCAGCTCGCCGATGTCTCCGGACTTGAACCAGCGCATGCCGTCGGCCTCCACGAACTCCTCCTTCGTCTTCTCGGGGTTCTTGTAGTAGCCCTCCGCCACCGACTCGCCGCCGATCACGATCTCACCCTGCGACCGTAGGCATGGTTAGTCCACACACAACAACAGTATAAACAACTTAAATCATAATGGCGAATGGTCATGAAGTGTAAATTATATCGCTACAACTAGTCCTTGTAAAATGTAAGCCTATACAGATTTTATAAGAAAATACTGTTACTGAATTTTTAAGGCTATTTACAACTAGTGAAACGAATTAAAGCTCGGTCTGTGAGCACGTGATGATCTCAAGCTACCCATTCTTATCGCTCGCGCGTAATTATATTGCTGTCGCGACTGTGTGACGGGCGGCCGCAGTGAGTGTGCGAGCGTGACAGCAACATAATTACTTTAGTCGTAAGGACATTAGTCATAAGGACTTTAGTCCTAATAAAATGTAAGCCTATACCGAGTTAATAAGAAAATACTGTTACTGAATTTTCAGGCTATTATAACTAGTGAAACAAACTACTATAATTGAACAACGAATGGACTGAATGATTGAATGAGGTCGTTCACTCATTCAACATGGAATATGACGTATCTAAAAGGAAGTAGTATGAGTTCGTTCATTAACTCGTTCCTTCACTCATTCCACATGCAACATGGCGTGGCTGAATGGGAGTTGAATGAGTCCGTTTGTTCACTCATTAGATATTCGTATGACATGTGGTATCGCAGAATTGCTAAAACCAAGTGGCAGTGGGCGGGGCACATAGCTCGTAGAGACGATGACCGTTGGGGCAGAAAAGTTCTCGAGTGGCGACCACGGGCTGGAAGACGTAGCGTGGGCAGGCCTCCTACTAGGTGGACCGACGATCTCGTAAAGGTCGCGGGAAGAGCCTGGATGCGGGCAGCGCAGGACCGTGCATTGTGGAAAACCTTGTTGGAGGGCTTTGTCCAGCAGTGGACGTCATTTNGTACACTGCAGTGCACCGCACGCTGGCCGTACACTGCCGAGCGCGCGGCCAGCGTACACTGCATAATGCAAAATGTATAGTCTGATGTGCTCTTCTCTTCCAGGTGACCCGCGAAGAGTTCCTGAACTTCTACAGCGGCTTCAGCGTGTCCATAGACAGCGACTGCTACTTCGACCTGATGATCCGTCAGGCCTACAAGCTGTAAACACGTATCACGGGCTACGCGGTCGCTTGAACATGGGCGTGTTCAGTTCACTAATCTGGCATCTTCAATTTTAATTACTTCTTAGAGCGCTTTTACATTTTAGGCGACTTTAGCAGCGCTGCAAAGGCGCGACAGACGCGCTGCCGATAATTTCATAGGTACTAGATTTTATAGTTGGTTACAAGTTGACCTAATAGAAGCGTGTTAAAAACGCCGCTGCCGCACTGCTGTCGCGCTTCTGACGCCCTAATGTGGAAGCGGTCTTACGTACCGTAGATGTGAGTTACTTTAGCCCTAGAGGGCAACTTTGGCTCAACAAAATGTGATTGAGCAAACTATGTTGCAATTAACTAAAAATAAATAGGCGTAAGTAACGCTCTAACATAGCCTTGTCGTTTATCGACATTGCTATGATGAGGTGGGAAGCTACCTTTTATCCTTTTTTATTTAGAGCCAAAGTTACCCTCTACTCAGGGCTAAAAGTAACCCGCAAATACGGTATTTAGATACTAGAAAAGAACGTATTTCGTTGATTACCCTGGCAGAAACTAATCGTATCTTATTTAATACCTAACTTATTAAACAAAAAGCGCCAGGGAAGTCAACCAATTACGTCTTTTTCGTGTTTCGTTCACACATGTTGTAAAGAGGGGACAAATTTTCTGGGCAAACTCGCATCTACTAGAACGTATCTTATTCTGTACCCCTTGGGTGGCATTGTTATCAAGAGCATACCCATCACATAAAGAAGAAACCCTGTCCAACATTATAGATGCCAGTCTTAAAACATATTATAACCGCGAGTCTGCTACATTTCTCTCTAATAATAATAATAATAATAATGATAACTGTTAGCACTTAAACACAATCTATTAGAAAATTCAGTACCGTACTACCAATATAACCCAAACCCAGTGCTAGAGAACACCACTCACAAAATGTATTTTGACAGAGCAATTCTTACAGATAAAACTATACACTACAATAAACCGGATATCATACTACTTGATAAAAAGGAAAAAACTACCTACATCATAGACATTGCAATCCCTAACAGTCACAATATTCACAAAACAATTTCGGAAAAAGTTACTAAATATACGGATTTAAAGCAGGAAGTCATGAGATTATGGAACCAAAATAGAGTAATGATTATACCGCTTGTGCTCTCTAGCACGGGAGTTATACCATACCAACTAAAAAATAGTTTAAACGCATTAGACTTGCCGACGAGTACCTTTTATAATATGCAGAAAGCTGCAATCCTCAATACGTGCCGAATTGTACGGCGATTCCTACAAGAGGACCATCACTTGGTTAACAACCCGTGAGGTCTTCTTTTTCAACACCGGAACAAGTTCCGAGAGTCCAAAAGACAAAAATGATAACTGTAATTTAGCATTTTTTCTTTCCCTTGTGTGTGGATCTGATTATAAATTATTCCTAATTTTATGTACTTTAAGTACCTTAATGTTAACTAGCTTAGCCAGCTTTTTAAAATAATAGTTTTGAGCTCCTATTTGACTTTAAATGTACGCAACATAGCTTAAATATTGATTAGCAAAACACTTTATTTAATTTTTAATTGAGTGCTAATGACATTAATTTGAATAAAATGTTTGTTGGTGGTAATATTTGAGTTTAATTTCCTACTAGTATGAAATTACATTAATATACGAGTAGGTACCTATGGTCTCCCGTGGTCTTCATAGGGGCAATAGGGGTCACTTAAAAAGTAGGGTTTGATGGTGAAAACGGGCATTATGTAATAATATGTAGTACACTGAGTGTAGGTTCCTAGGTTCCAGCGGGAGCTTGTTTTTGTTTCATCGAAATTCAGTGAGAATTTTTTTTTTTTTTTCAGATTAGGAAAAAAAACTTAAATCGCAAAAATTATCAAAAAAATTAGTATAGTTCGGCAGAAATAAAGAAGGGGCTATGGAAAAACTACCTAAGTGCCGATTTGCACGTGTCCCACGACACGAGTACCCGTGTATCATCAGCCTTATCTTCACGAGACAAAAAATGTTAACAATCTTTCAAGCATAAAACCTTTCTTCTTCGACGAGATCAACATGAAATATGTCATCCAGCCATTTTTGTTTTTTTGTCATTTTGTGCAACTTATTTTCTAAGACTGTTTTTGTAATTTATTTATTGATGCGACGATATACCACATATAAATGAACGATAGACAGAATCATTTTTATCTCATCTCGCCGAATGAAGTGACACGTAAGACAAACCTTTCTTCTTGTATCACGCTGATATCTATAACGACAAAACGCTTCATCAAAGTAGTTCGCCTGAAAGCACCCCAAAATGATCAGCTATTTCTGTTTTTCAGAATAAACCAAGATGTGTCGAACGGTACACGCGGTCCTGCAAACCGCAATATGCGGGATACAGATGCTGGTGAGGGTCTTTATGACCGTAATTCTGATGATCGAGAACGTAATCAGAATGCTTCTGCAGACGCTGTACAACTTCATATCGTTCGTGTTACAAATGGTGTCGCTGATTCCGATATGTATCGTGTTCCTTCTGACTGCGAGGCTGAAGTGTTTCATGTGCGGCGGCGGCGGACCCTGCCCTGTGAACCGCGGGGGAACTTGTGACTGTCTCATGTCTGCCCTCGCTTTTGTCATCTTATTCTTCATCTTCCGAGCTACTGGAGTCCTCGATAAGATATTCTACAGTCTGGGCTACGCGAAAGCCCGGCCACCAGCCGCTGCCAGATTCGTCCCCACCCCTGGAGACATAACAGAATGCTCCAGAAATGACACTGAATCTCTTGACACCGATTACGACCTGACGTCCACCACTACTATGACTACACCTTTTGATGATATGTCTAAGCTCGCCGACGACACAACAAGGACGGTGATAGTTCAGCAACAGGAGACCCAAACAGACCTCGTAACGACCAGCTCCAAGCCTCAATTGTGGCAACCATATAACAGGCGTCATGATGATAAGAAAAAGAAAATTAATGCACGCAATCGCAAATTGACTACTAATGTGGCGTATTATTTGATATGATTCCGTCTTGATTTCGTTTTGTAATAAATTTTTGAATCATAATGGTCGTTTACTATTACAAATAAGTAAGTATGTACAAACGTTTTGCTTTACAAAGGATTTGCTCTCACTGGTAAACAGTCCAAAATCCTTAATTTCTAAAAAGAACTGAGAAAAGAACATACCTAACCGGAGTGTGATTTGGATCAAAGCAAAGACTACTATTGTATATGATCAAAGGAATTTATGAGTGTTTATGAGTAGGCCGTGCCACAAAATAAGTAATAGTACCACATGCTTATCCGTAAAACGCCTTGTAGCATCAACATTGATGATAAGGCCTTTATGGATTTTGAAAAGCGTTTTTGATAGAATATGTATCAAGATGTTTATATGGTACAGCAATGTGGTATAGAATATCTTATGGCATTAAGTTTGCCTTTTGCCAATTTATATGGTATTCAAGGATAAATCAATAAATGAGAAGAAAGCTGATAAAGATAATATCAAAGCTAGAAATCCACGTTTGAAAAATATGAAAATGAACGTGTGATTGTCAAAGACAGTCAAAGATATTTTATATGATGACCCACGCTGAACTGTCCCACCAAACTCAATGACAGGGGGGCGCTACCATCGTTCAACTATATGGTTTCCAACATGGCAAAAATCTGAACCAGCGATCCGGTATTGACGGTGGCGCCCCACTGTCAATGTCATCGACAGGACAGTCCAGTAAAATATGTCAGTAGGTACTGACAAAAATATAATGAAAAATTTTAAAACGTGAAAACATTAATAAAAATTATAAAATTATGAAAAATGTGTACAAAAAATATCCTTAGTCAAGTATTTTAGATGATAAAATACTTAAATGTATTCTTATGCTCAAACCTTTAAAAACCTTTAGCAAGGAGTGCGTTGTGGTTTCCACTAGTTTCTTAGAAATGTAACAAGTAGGTACCTACTTGTTGTTAGTCAATTTTCACCAAAGGAACTCTACACTGTACCTCTAACCATGTGTATCGCACTTTTGATGCCTGTGATATGTATCTTCCAAATGGTGACGCGAATACTTATGACTGTATTATTAGCCTTAGAAGACATCGCCAGGATGATAATTCACACTGTTCACAGCTATGTTTCCACATGCTGCCACGTGCTCTCCATAATACCTGTCTATCTTGTGTTTTTATGCTCAAAGAGATGCTTTTGCGCAAATATGTGCAATACAGGACCATGTTACCATTACAACGACTCAGCTAGTTGTGGCTACTTGTTGTTGATTATATTTATAGTGGCTGTTGTTCTGATTCTCTTTTACACGTTCTGGATTGAAGATATGCTTAAGAGATTCGGAATTGATAATACTATAATTCCTTGTCATATTTTTGCGAAATGCGATAGAATTAAACATGACTCAATGATGCTTAAAGCTAAAATTGCAATGCTCAAGAAACCCGAGAACAAAATTTACAAGAAAGTTCTCCCAAGTGAACTTGATTCCTTGAAAATTGTCAAGATACTTCTACGGGATAGTAACCGAAATAATTATAAGATTAGTTTGTTAAAAACAGAAGAAACTGGTCACTTCACTGAAAACTATGAAGTATCAACTGATTTAGTTACAGATGCTACTGAGTACATTCAAAATACAACAGACAGATCAGAAGACGTGGAAACCACAAAAGTCGAGGAAAATATACATAGCACTATTTTAGTAACTGAATCGGTTTTAGAAGAATCAACAGATTACACAGTGGGATACACAGAAACTATAAATGCGACATTGTATCCCGAAGAAGATAGTGAAACATCCATTCATGTTGTACGATAAAATATAAAGTTAATAAAAGAAATGTTAAACAGGATTTCTATTTGTTTTAGTTTGAGTAAATACTCGGGACTATTAGTTAGCAGACGGTTTGTATAATAGAGATAGCCTCCTTGATTAATGAGGAACACAACCTACCTCTGCTTCTGGTGGACAGAATAATATATTTTTTTTAAATATCTTTTTATGACGCCCGTGGTTCTACTGGTTTCGGTAGCACCACTGCAAATATTTTTTTCGTAGTTCTTTTCAGTCTTTCAGGTAGGGACTGAGCAGTAGGACCACGGGCAATGCACGAAAAATATATCCTCCTTGGTCTATTTACCTCCTTGTCTACATTTTCAAGGTGGCCATAAATTTAAAGAATAAAATCAAAGTGACTGACATGTATTTTACTTTCGGCAAAGTAAACAAAATTTTTGTTAGGAGTTTCTAAATATTTATGAAATCTAATCTGCATTTAAAAATGCCACAATTTAATAAAATATTGGCGTAACAGCTCTCATTCTATGTAGAATGTAGTGTTAATTATGTAGATGCCTACATGCAAATGTAGCTGGTACTGTTATTGTGGTACTTAGATAAGTTTTAAATGCTATGTAAGTAAAACAATACATAATATCCTAATATTCAGCTTATAAATATTTATTTATTATCATTCTTATCTCTTACCTACTATTTATTTCAGAATAATAATTTCCCGGTGAACTGTGTTTGACCTTGTGGATTGCATGTATCATTAGCTCAGTGATTGTAATTGAATTTTGAAAGTTCTATAAAGTAAAAAACTTTCTTTCTTTAAAAAACAAAATGACAGGTGAACACCACCGAAATTGCTCATGCCCTGACTGCCTACAAAGCATTGGACTTGATCAAATGTCCACACAACATTTAGAAGCGAAAGGTTCACGAATCGATAAGTTATACTATGGAAAATATCTCCCAATGCGAGAGAGGAAATTAATAGATAAGCTGATCAAAACCAGGGCAGTTTATGATGGTGTCAGAAATGAAATTTTGTCTGGCAATGAAACTAATGTTATCAATGAAATACGCCATGGGAAACACAGAGAAATGGACGATGGCGATAAAAGACATAAACATAGTGGGATCCGTACTATAGTGGACTTGGTAGATCGCGGAGAAATGGAGCCAGATCCAAGAAATTCCAACAAACCCTATCTTATACCTAAAGACCAATTAACCGACTGCCAAAATTGTTGTTCTTGTAGTACCCAAGTGGGGCCTCACAAAAACGCAGATTTCATTAATTACCCCCAAACTAAGCCCGTGAATAAGATCCAAACTTCTAGCAGCAGTCGCCTTTATGCTAAACGCAAACAAGGCGACAGAAGCAAAAAAATGAGAGCTGTGCATTTTAAGACCAAATATATCCGCTCTGATCCCTGCACTTGTACAAGTGTTTATAGTGAAGCTGTCAACAAAAAACATTCGCGTCTACACAGCAAGAAATTCAATAAAGAAATTGATTCTATACCTACTACAATAGAATCGAAAGCAATTAAAGCTAAACGATGTGTTTGCGAGTGCAACATTGTAAGAAAACCAAACAAATCTCTTCAGCGATTAAAAAATGCTAAAGAGAAAGTTACAAGGAGTATCAAAGGTAGTATCTCCAAAATTGAAAACACAATCAGGGTAAAGAGAGATTCAATAATTATGTTTCGAAATAAGTTAAGAAGGAAACGAGCATTGAAAAAATACGAATGTGAACCAAGTTATTGCATCCCTGAAGAATGTGCTCCTCCAAAATGTTATGAAAAAATTAAAACACGACTTAATGATATCAAAAGTGACATCAAAAGATCATATCACGATTTACGAGCAATAGGTTCCGGAATATCTTTTAGGAAAGCTCCCAAGTATGAAATAGAACCATTTTGTGATCCAGAGGCATGTGAACCTCCTAAGTGCTATGAAAAATTTAAGACACAACTAAATGATATGAAAAGTAACATTAAAAGGTCATTTCATGATTTACGAGCGATCGGTTCTGGTATATCTTTTAAAAGATCTAAGAAGGAGGAATTAGAACCGTATTATTGCCTTCCGGAAGACTGCGACCCTCCAAAATGCTATGAAAAAATTAAAATGCGGCTAAATGATATCAAAAGTGATATTAAAAAGTCGTATCATGATTTAAGAGTAATAGGTTCCGGGATTTCTTTCAAGAGGACTCCGAAGAAGGAAAAAGCAGCTAGCAAACGAAAATCTAAACCTGTAATTTGTACATGCGAAGCTGAAGCAGAGCCTGCTGTACCCACGGAGAATTACGAACACGAGAAGTCAATTTGGTCTCGGAAAAGGAAAACTAGTCCAAGTGTAAAACGAAACGGACTGGTTATCAATATAGAACCATCAGTTTTATCTAAGAAAAAAACAACTAAGCCTAAATCTCCACGTAATGTTTGTGAATGTGACAAAGAAGAACAAAGCAAAACACCAGTTTCACCTACTTACGAATTGGGGCGATATACATTCCCTTCTACAGATAGGAAATTCCCAAGAGAATGCGAAGCCTCAATGTGTATACCGGGTGAATGTGATTATAGAAAATGTGCGGAAATATTAAAGGCACAGTCACAAACCTCAAGCACACATATTTCTCAAAAGTCTGTGGGTTCTGGTACAATGAAACATAAACAACAAAGTCAATCAATAGATGTGAATGAACAACATACCAAAAGTGAAAATATTGAACCTAAAAGACAAGTAGTACGCATAGCCTCTAATTTTAGTTTTAGTATCGAATTTTACAAAGACCAGAAAAACGAAATTACTGAGCTAGATAAGCCGCAACAAGAGACAATCAGAAAATTTAGGTCAAGAAATAAAAAAACAGGTTCGAGGAAGACTAAATTTACCTATCCCAGGAAAATTCGTAGCCGAAATAAATCTATTCAATCAAATCTGAAACGATTATGTTGTATACCAACGTTTCATGCTCTACGGCGTTGTTTTTGTACTCTACAGCTCAAAGATGCGGCAACATTAGAAAAGTCTACTGTCGGTGACCAAATCGAAAAAACAACAACGATTAGCGATTGTGCCTGTGAACCGAAACCTAAAAAATCGACACAAACGAAAAAAAAGCCATTTCCATGCGATCCGTACTTTGATCGCGGAGAAAACTGTGACTCCGCAATTTGTGAAAAAAGAGTCAGAGACAAACAAGAACAAACTAAAAATAAGCATTCAGGACTGAAAGAAAGAAAACGCAAACATTGTATAGGGACAACCCCACAACTGACTACTAAGACCTGTGCTAGTCAATGCAATATTTTCTCTAAATTAAGTTCGAAATCTTCAGATCCACGGAGTAAAAAAATGAAATTTTCTCAGAATGAATTACCGAAGCGTACAGAATATCATAATGGTATAGATGACACTACAAATAGAAGTGTTGTAAGGATCGGCTCAAGTTTTAGATTTAATATTGAATTTTATAAAGAAACAGAACCTTCGTTTGACGCCACTCCTTTAAAAAATGATGAAAATTTCGAACATTCTGATTATACAAGTAAGCATCAGATGAGGCAAAAATGTCTAAGAACAGCGAAATGCAGGCACAATACTACACAGTCGAAATTAAATTTGAGTGATGGATTTTGTTCAATGGCTAGTCAAAGTTCTTTTACACAGAAGGATCAAGAGATTAACTCCAACAAAGCTGTTAAGAAAAAGCCTGTGAAGAAAGTATCAAAAACCGTCTGTGAATGTGATATTACTACTCAAACTTCAGCGTCAGGTGCTTATGTACGACCTCCTGTATTGCCTCAATATTACACTGGTGGTCAATGCAACGACTTAACGTGTGTGAAGAAAATCGATACTCAGAGTCATACCACAAACGAATGTAGACATAGAAAAAATAATACTGTATGTTGCTCAAAATCACGATCTAGATCAATAAAAACTTTGACTGATACTGGATCTAGTAAAAGGCAAATGAGCCGTGAAACAAAGATGCTGAAGTCATTATCTTCAAAAGATTTTGCTACAGGACAAGATACGTCTCATCATCGACAATCTGTGAACATTGGATCAAGTTTTAGCTTTAACATTGAATTTAGTAAAGACACTAGTTCTACCAAGCAGCACAATATTGTGGCTAATAAAGTAACAAACAATCACATTAAACAAAAATGCAAAGAGTGTGTTTGCAAAGCGATTGATGCACCATCACTACGTCAGCCACAAATTTGTAAAAATAATGAAAGAAAAGAATATGGTATCAAACCATTTTTCGATAAATGCTTCTGTACTCTTAAACAACTCAAAGCAAGAAAGGATACCATAAGAGTTTCTAGTCCTAAAACTCAATCAAACATCAATACTAAGGACATGAAATCACGGACTTGCCAATGTAAAATGAAAAAATGTTTTTATCAGTCACTACAAAAGACAAAACAAACGTGCTCTTACTCATGTACCAATACTAGAGCTTATAAATCTACATCCAGTGGTACATCTAAATCCTACATTAAAAATCAAAAGCTCCAAGCAAAAATGATACTCAGGCCGGAATCTGTAGGTGACAAGAGAAGTTCAGTTACTACAAATTTATCTAAAAACTTGTATGGAGACCCCAAGCCCGTATCTAATAAACAAGTAGTACGCTTGGGCTCTAGTTTCAGTTTTAATATTGAATTTTATAAGGAGAAAGGAGATGCACCAGACTGTAATTTGATAAATCCGATGCCTAAGAATCAACAAAGAAAAATCAACAGAATAGAAAACAAAATATGCGAATTTAGAAAAACATCACAGAATCATAAGATTTGTAAAAAAAGAAATATTATGAACAATGAAAACACAACTGGTGATATGTTACCTTGCTCTGACATAAAAACCTGTAAATTAAAACGAAATAAAATAACTCAGCATAAACCATGTACACCTAGAACAAAAAACAAATCTATAAGTGTAAAGGAATCCAGAAAATCACACCTTAAACGTATAATGGTAACATGTAAATGTGAAAAAGGAACAGCAACTAGACGAAAATCTTATCGTCCGGTTGCTCGTAAAACGTCATGTGTTGCTTGCGGACCAGAAAAAATGGTATCTGAAATCATCGGCACTGATATTCAACCTGTTAAATGCAAAACTCAAAAGACTCAGTCCAACTTTTATGAGCCTTCGATAAAAACTAAACATAAAAAGCAACCAAAATCTGCAATGAAAGCTCCAACAAGACAGTTGGTGAGGATAAATTCTAACTTTAGCTTTAATATTGAGTTCAATAAACAACAAAGCAAACCACTGTTAACAAAAACGAAGCTTAAAAAAGCCAATCCGAAATTAAAGGACTTAAAGGAATCAGAAACACAAAAGAACCTTCTGAAGAAAAAGACAAGTATGTTTGCCAATAAAAATCGTAAAAGCAATTTGGGTATAATGTTAAAGCAATGCTTATGTTCACTAAAATATCAGAAACAGGCAAAAACTGGGAAAATCAGAAATGATTATGAAAAAGAGACCCAATTAAACATACCTCAACCGTATGAATGTCGTCCCACGTGTGAAAAATATGTAATGGCAAATAGAAAACAACCGAGAGCGAAATCCGTTTTGGAAGTAAAAAGACAATCTTTAAAGACGAAGAAAGTCCAATCAAGTTTTACAGAAAACGATTCATCTATAAAGAAGATATGTTATCAAAAGATGAAACGTGAAAAACCAAGGCAAAAGCACCGTATAGAAAAGTGTTCTCCCAATAAAGCTGTTCGTCTGGGCTCTGCATATAACTTTGATATTGAATTTTGCAAAAAATATGCGCATCAAGAACAAAATGATAGAGGTATTCATTACAAAAAAATTGGCAGAGATCAGAAAGAATTAAATTTTAACTGTCGACGAAAAGATGAAGCATCAAAGAAGTTGAACGATAAAAGTCTGTGTGGTTCTTGCTATCATAGACATACAGAGTATCAAGTTGGTTATATGAAAGAGGAAGTGACCACGGTGAGAGAAAGGGCATTTCAGCAGCAACATCAAATTTATTACATGAGAATTTCTGATCAAATAGTGAAAAAATCTGCACAACTGGTAAACCCTGTATTTATTCAATCTAATCCATTCAGAAGAAAATATACGAGGTCTAACCTAAGAAACAAAGGTAAGAAAAAACCAAAACAACGTAAAAAACAGGTTAGATTTGCAATTAGTAATATTGAAACGAAGGTCAATGATAAATGTAGTTGTAAACTATTTAATAAAAAAAAGAAGTTTATGTCTGAAATATACAACACTCATGTTTACGATTCATGTGAATGTTTACAATCTAAAAGACCTTTTCTGCGTTCAAGGAAAAAATCTATAGTAATACTTTATCCGGAAAAGAATTTACCATCAAACACCTTTTCTAGCTTTACAAAAATGCATAAAGAAGGCTTAAACTTGCAACCAATGCAGTCCAAGCAGAAAACAAGCAGAATTAATAAAATTATTACTCACAGAAAGAAGCACAAATTCAAAGCTACACAAACTAAAGAAAACTGCCTGAATAAATCCACCTCATGTAAATGTTATATCAATAGACTGAAAAAAAAGGCCAAAGACTCAGTCGATAACGCTTCTCACTGTTCTACCAATATGACTTATAAGAAAGAACAATGCAGTCTCCAAAACAAACGAGGAAAACGTAAAAAAGGAAGAAAAATTGGTCCAAACCCCCAAAAAATGCAACAAGTATCTCAAATGAAAAAAGTTAACATTCAAAACTTAAGTCAAATAAGCAAGGAAAGGGCGCAGTCAAAAGGTAATTCAAGCATTACATTACTAAACTTATGTTATTGTGAAACATGATTTATAATTAAAACGGACATTTATTTTCACAGACCAAGAAGATAAAAAGTTAGACGAACAGTGCACAAAGTCCAAGGCAAATGACGCTACTGTGAAAAGATCAAGAATCATCAGGTGTATTATGAGATTTTCTTTTCTATCTAAAAAGAAACGTTTCGATGGGAATCAAGCTACCCATACCAGAGACATCAATTTGGTTAACAATCTGAAACCTAACCCAATAATATGTTCCAATGAGAAATGCGAAACAGCGATGATAGAGACGATAATGCCATATTGCAAAAAGAAGTTTGTAAAAAAATGCAGCCGCACTTGTTTGAGCAAGGAATGCAAATTACTTATTAAGTCAACAGCAAAAAAATATACTAAAGATTCGAAGATTGGTAGTAAAAATCCGTTGTTTAGTAAATTAAGCCAAAGATTGAGTAGGAAAACAAGTGATTGTAACGAAGTTTGCTTAAAGAAAGCTAAGACAAATCTGTTGAAAAATAGTACACCAAGTCAACGACTGACAAAATCTTTTATAAAAAAATATGTGCCAAGAAATACCGAAAATGTCAAACACATTCATGACACGTTAGAAATGAACGAAGGTGCTCTTGAGTGTGATGGTGTAGCAATGAAAAGGCCGTGCTGTGTTTGTCCTACTAAGCAATATTCTGACACTAATAAATTAACATTCGAGACACAAATACCCAAAAGAACAAATCTGGATAAACCGAAAAACATCAACCGGACTAAGGTAAACGCAGATATTGCTAATACTATAATATCATGTTCATGTGGAAGTAACATTTGTAAAAAGCAGTCAAAAACAAGGTCACCCAATGTTAGTAAGGAGTCAAATGTGGTTTGTTTGTGTCACCATGAGTGTCAATGTCCTGCGATATTAAAAAAGATGGAGGATAGTAAGAAAGCGAAGGAACTAAAACAAAAGACTAAAAGGTTGAAACAAAAACAAAAGATGCAACGTAAGAAACAAAAGTCAAATCGTAAGAACAAAGTAAACTCTGATCTATTACAATTATACAGTGAAACATCCGATACCAGACTGGTTGCAGACTCATGCTTGGACCTAACCAAAATGAGCGCCGAGATTATGTGGAACTTGATGAAAGTGCCGTTTAAGGTCATTTCTAACCCTAAAGATAGCTTTGAGAATTTTAAGATGGCATTGCGACACCCTACTGATATTAAATGTCCTGATGGTGTCACAACAAAAGCTATTGGTATCAAACAAAAATTTGCTGCCATGCGCATGACCAAAAATGCTAAGGACATGTTGGAAAGTTTTACTGTCACAAATTATTTGATTCATGCATTTGATGATGATTCTACGAAGAGATTGAGAGCATTAAAAAGCAGAAAGCAAATGAAGAAACGCGCACGAGAAGATTTTGGTTGTAGCCCCTTTATGGCGTCTTTGAGAAAGAGACCGTTCTTGTGGGTTTACGACAAGTGTCCCTCCTTCTACCCTCAATTCATAAGCCTGCTCAGTGGATGGAGACAGTTTATTGATATGCTGTTATTTTTGTCAGCAATTGTTGTTTGGAGTCCGTGTATCTTTGGTATAGAATTGTGCCGAGCTATTATGTGTTGCTGTTTATGTACAGGTTGACAATAAATATTATAAAAACCTATTTTTTATTTCATTGTAGCTTACTTAATACCAGAATTAGGCGAGGCAGGAGGTTAAAGTAATGTTATAAAAATAACAATTTTAAAGACAAATTACTAATTATTTACAATGTTTTGGACTCATATTTTTAAGTTTTATTAATTTGTGTTAGGATCAGACCGCTCTTTCTAATTAAAGCAGCACTTGTGTGCAGAACAATAATTGCAAACAGAATAAAAATTCTAATAACTAACTGCATAATAATTATTGATTGCAAGCAGAATAAAGCTGGATTTTTAACACATTAAAATTGATTTGAAATACTTTTCATTTAAGGCGATTACTTGGCCAAACGACCTTGAGCATTAGAGCGAGACAACGTGCCTCTCACCGCGCGCCCGCGCTTCTGCCCGATATCAAAGAGCGCTCAGAATACAGTTGCGACGCGCTGCGAATTCTAATTTAACTGCCTACCGGAATGTTGACTCGATTTTAATTTACGCAGATCAAAAAAATTTGCGAAGCTTATTTTATGTTTCAAAAAAGAATTAAAAAAAAAGAAAATAAATCTTATACAGAATAATAATAATTACCTAATTATCGTCAACATATTTTCAAATTGAAATAAAATTGACATATAATGATTAAATTTCAATTAGTACATCATTATACTTCAATTAGTACCATAACTATGAAAAATAAACAATTATTTCCTCCTGTAAAGATTGCACAAAAGGACATTTAAGCAGTTTTATAAATTAGGCTGACGATATTCGTGTGTTAAGTGAGCTTCTAAACAGTTTTTTATGTATGTGTACGAGTACCTACCTAAATGTAAATGTCTGTCTGTGCAAGTATTCAAAATATTGGTCAATATTGAACATATTATTGATAATATTGAATACCAGGGGCCAAGCAGGGGGGACAACAGGACTGCACCGAAAATATAAGGGTAGTTTAAAATATTTAAATGATTCCGCCAGCTGCCAGACGTCTGCTTGTGATCACGGAATGAAAACTCCTTTTTTTCTATGCAGTTATTATTTTTGATTTGAATTTTGAAAGCTATGAAAAGCAGTAATATCAGAAAAGATGGCGATGTTTAAAGAAACTTTCTATGGATAATTCTATTCATCATCATCATCATCATTTCAGCCACAGGACGTCCACTGCTGAATATAGGCCTCCCCCAATGCTTTCCACATCGCACGCTTTCCATTTTCTTCACTAAACTTTAAAGTTTTGGCGAAATCCAATATCTAATTTACTACAAGTGATATAGTTATTATTATTGGAAAGAAGAGAAGCTAAAGATGTTTTTAAATGATCTTCAAAACAATCCATTAACACATTTTTTTAATCAATTTCTTAAGTGTTTTATCGTGTTTTGTACTTTTGTTAAGCTTTGGCGGCTCGTAGCCTCGTAATTAGGGTTTCTGCTCGAGCTTTCTCGAACTCGAGAAAACTCGAGAAATTTGGCTTCATTCGAGACGAGAAAAATATTACCGGAGCTCGAGAATTCTCGAGTTTCGATTTTGAAGCTTTAATATTTTTGAAAGCCTATTTTCTTAGACAAAAGTTAGTTTTAATTATTTAAATAGGTTAACGTTGCTTTTAGACTGGCCTAGTCTTTCCTTTTTTAACTGATTTGATTTGCAATTAATGATCTCAATCGAAACTAAGTATGTAATAATGTTCACCAACGAGTATGCTATATTTATTTTGTACTAGCTTTTGCCCGCGGCTTCACCCGCGTGAAATTTAGTTTGTCACAGATCGAACAAATAACAACAAAAATTATAGTCTATAATATGTTAATCTGGGTTTTAAACAATAATACTGTAGTNCCTTAATAAACAAATGGGTGCAGATCACTTCTGATTCGGATCTTCTTTTCTAAGTATAATGCGACTGTATTTGAAAGTAAATTGAATTAATGCTTCATGCCAAATTATTTCATGAATTCCATTGTTTATCAATTGATGACTTGATGAGGATAATAAAATTAATTATATAATTATATACCTACCTAATTAATTTACGTTTGCATATGTAGATACTTGTATGTTACATTTGTTACTTATTATTATTCTGTGCCTCTACCTACTCTACCCTGCCTGCTTCGTCTATCCTTCCTTGTTATAATAGTAAGTAGGATTTAATTTATTAGCAAAAAAATTCTAATGGCCTTGTATTCTCAAAATAGCTCTACCTTTACCGACGTGTTTAGCTAACCCTCTTTCGAACAACTTGTATGTTCGAAAGCTGAATATTCTAACTAATAGCGCTCCGTTGAGTTTTTATTTTCCGAATTGTTCCGGCTTCATGTCGTTGATTGATGATCCCCTTGGACGAAAGATCAGAGTAAATATTTCCTTTGCGAAAGATGATCCCACTTTACCAACGTTTTACTGCTTAATGATTTTTTTTTTGACGAATAGAAACAAACCTCAAAACTTTGATTAATGAAAACTTTTCGAAGTTAAAAATAATATTGTTCCAAAATACTGGACTGTCCTGTCGATGACATTGACAGTGGGGCGCCACCGTCAATACCGGATCGCTGGTTCAGATTTTTGCCATGTTGGAAACCATATAGTTGAACGATGGTAGCGCCCCCCTGTCATTGAGTTTGGTGGGACAGTTCAGCGTGGGTCATCTATAAACGTCTTGTCATGTCATCCTTGACTTGTTGTTAGCCAAACGTCACATATAACGTAGGTAATCACAAAGCTAAAGATACAAATTGTAATGGAACCATGAATTAATGATTTTATGAAGAAAAGGAGGATTTAGATTAGTAGTTATAGCATTTTAATTAATATAAGAATCATTTTTGGAAAATTCTTGATGTAGCAGGAACAAATTCAATCCCTAATCATAAGGGAAAGCAGGAGAAGACGGAAGGTAATAATATTTTAAGAATCCGGGATTGTATGGCGGATTTTGCGCGTCTAAAGACGTTGCTTCCACGTCAATGTTATCTACGCATTTTGTTCTTTCGTTCGTTTCAGCCAAATGATTTCCTTAACGACTGGTCATGCGTCGCGGCCGCCCGAATCCAGGCACCTCCTGCGACTTTCACCAGATCGTCGGTCCACCCAGTCAGGGGAGCCTGCCCACACTACGTCGTCCGGTCCGGCACGCATTTTGTATATAATCTAAAGTATCTGTAGTAGATGTACCTACTCTTGCTCATGCTGCATGCGGTCTTATAGTTAATTTACATAAATGTGAGAATTGATACAGCTATACACTCGCTCACGCACGACCCTTTGTGTGTTATAAAAAACTTCAATAAACTCTTCTTTTTCAGGTTAAATTGGAGGTAAAAGGAAATAGAAATATAATGAACGGATATTGAGTCAGTTATGCCTCTTTATTGCAAACTTACGTACGAAGAAACAGTATTCATCTTCATTTTTTGTTACGCAAATGTATCTAGTTTCTAGGCATATAAAATGTCTTTGAACTTTAAAAATAACAATTCGTTTAGAAACGAAATCTATAATGTGCATAATGATGCTAAACATTGTATCAAAGGGAAAACTATTCAAAATGCTTTATTACAAGGAAGAAGGACTTTGCAAATGCTTGATCACGGACATATTACATTTGCAGATAATAAGGCCATGAAAACTTGTATATCCTCTTCACACCAAAAGCTGGTAAGATCAAAAATGAGGGTTACATTTAACACTGACAATGATAGAAGAAAATATGATTGTAACCGGAAAGTCAGCGCTAAAGTAGAAAGATTAACAAAATCACAATCAAACATTAGACCTGATGAATCCCATGAGCGGATAAAAAAAATTAATGGAAAAAAGAAAACTCCAAAGAAAGTCTCGAATGTGCAATCTAAAAAAACATCAAGTCTAACGAACTTTGAAAAAATAGACCAATTTAAAAAAATGCATAAATTGTACACTGAAGGGGAACTAAAGAAAGATACGATCAGTAAAGAAGCAGTAGCTTTAATTCATGCCATGCATCGTAATTTAAAAGATTCATACCAAAAGAATTTCCCTAAACCATCGCTTAGTGCTCCTATACCAAAATTGCATTCCAAATGCAACAATAATGTTAGTCAACACAAAAATGAAACAGTTAAAAATAGGACGAATAAACATGAAAAACATTCTCTGAAAACCACTGAAAGTAAATATGATGCGGTCATTCTAAACAATATTTGTGTAATGGGTAAAAAATTAACACTATGGAAGAAAATAAAACGTCATTTCGGTTCATCGACGACTACAGAAGCTAAAGATAGATCGAATGATACTATATCCACTGTAATCGATAAGAAACATGAACACGAACTAAATCCAAGGCCTAAAACTGACACAAAAGCTTTAAAGTCATATAGCCATTCGTACTTTTGCTATCCATTAGCTTGCAATCCGCCCGATTGCAAATGGAATATCACTAAGGTGCAAAATAAAAAAAACACTGATCCAGATTGTGCGTGCTCTAAAGATGCTATTAATAATGAAAATATTACAAAACCATGTCGCCATGTCAATTTACAGAATAATTATAAGAATTTATGCGATTGTACGGTCCAAACAGAGAATAATCAGTCAGTAGAGTTAAATGCATGCAAAAATGAGAATAAGCATATTACTAGTAACTACGATGAAAAAGCAGCAATGGATCAAAGTATTAGAAAACCCTATGTTGCTAGACCGGAATCAGGGTGTAACAAGACGGACTGTCCAGGTCACGTAAAAGGAGAACTTTGTGTTTGTGGTGAAGAAGAAGGCACACTAAAGAAAATCAGTGACAGTTTTTGTTTTGCTCGAGATGTTTTAATTAAACAAGGGAAACAGATAGCCTTTAAAGTATACCCTCGGGATCAAACTAAAGATAAGAAACGCTACAAAAGATCAATCAAAACGCAAGTTACTGTAAAAAGGGACCCAAAGCATAAACAGTATTCCAAATATCGTCCACACAACACATACCCTTGTAAATATGACGCAAACGCTTCTCAAACACACGAAATACGTGTGTGTAAGTGTACTAATGGCTCGATGAAGGAGCACGAGACCCAATTGAGTGAATTGAGTGGTGATGCTCTAAGAACTATCCAACATAAATCTAAAATTAAACATAAAAAAGATGTCGAAAAGAGAGAGGCAACACACATACAACAGAGACACAGTCATAGATACAACGAAAATTTAAGGGAGACCCCAAGCAATGCACATTATCATGCCGACAAAGTACATGGTGGCAAATCAGATCGAGACGATTTTTTACATAAAAGAAAGATATTCAAAAATAAAGAAGCACTTAAAGGAAGGCATAGGTCGCCGTCCTTGCCACACATTCCAATGGATAGCGATATAGATAAATTTTACTGTGAAAAATCCAACTCAGAGGAAGGAAAGAAACGCAAAAGAAAACACAAACGTAAATATCCATTCAGACGAAAGCGTAGCTCGCATTCGTCCTTACCACCATGTTCAAGTAAAAGAAAAGTAACTCGCTGTAATGCAAAATCTAAAAGTCCATGCAGCAAACCAAAAGAAAAAAATCAGAAATCAATACCGGCAAATAAAAAGAAGGGGAAAACAAACGAAGTAAACGTGGGAAGGTTTAAATTAAAAATTAAAGGGATGAAAAATTTTTCAAATTACACCCATATTAATACACGTTTCGGAAAATTGAAAAGGAAGAAGAAAAAGAAGAAAAAGAAAGCCAAAAAATCCAGTCATGTTTTTGGACATTATAAGGTGTACGAATGCGATAAGATATACATGAATACGCTTAGAAGGAGGCCGTACATATGCGTCCACTACGTGTGTCCATGGTTTTATCCCCATTGCATTAGCCTGGTGGGGCTGATGAGGCAGACGACGCGCGTATTCTTATTTATGCTAGCTCTTGCTGTGTGGTGCCCATGCCTGTGCGCTCTTGAACTTTGTAGGCTTTTTATATGCTGTTTATTCTGTTTTGAATAAATATTATTTTATCTCAAACCTCGTTTTTTTACGAACGTAAACTTCGAACTCCTTTTCATAAAATTCGTTGCTCGCTCGTGCCCGTCGCGTTGTACCTTGATTTGAATTTCATAGGAATGACGTCAGGCCACACAAACCCCAATGTTTGTGGTTAGTTAGTTCTTCAACCTTTAACCAGGGTTGCTACCTTAGATAGGGGTATGTATGTTATTACCAAAGTTATTACCTTATAACCTAAGAAATACTGTAAATAATTATTATTATGTAGATTAATTTGAACAATGTTGATTGAAAGACTTATTATAAGATCAGTTTTTATTTTACCAAAACGTTACACCTATAATAAATACGCTAACCAGTACACAATAAGCAGCAGCACAGACCCCTCAAAGCTTCACAAAACACGATACACGGTGTCCAGCACGCAAACGCTAGCACAAAGAGGCACATATGCCAGAAATTCCTCATGAACGCCAAGCAACTTAAACATTGCGGGTAAAATTCTGGACAAACGTGGTAAACCCACAAACAAGGCGTTTTCCGTAAAGTAGTCAGTAGCACATGACGACAACCGTAAATCGCTGCGTCTTGTCTTTTCCGGACTCTTCTTTTTCTCTTTTTACTCTCAACCTCAAAGGCCTCTTGCTCTTTTTTAGTTTTTCCCTTATCAGCAAACAACTGGTAAACGGGACTCTCCTTAAATGTATCAGAGAGAATGCCAACTGTTTCCGAATTGTTCAAACATTTCGTAATTTTCAACTTTCTAATTCGCAAACCGTCACCCATAACTCGTTTTATTGAAGCGTATGTGCCTTCAGGATCTTGCATCCTTTCTCTTGTATACCAGTAGCTTCCCTTAGGATCTGATATAACTTTATAAAGGGCATAAAATATAAGTTTAACTGCGTGAAAGCCAGCTGATAATATTGCTCCAAAAATCTCTACACAACAATTAGTACGTCTTGCTCCATCTTTACTTTCTAATAATTTCATAACTTCCATTTCTTCTTTAAGCCGTTTCTTCCGCCTCTTTTGTTCCTCTTTCATTGCCTTGTTTCGCGCTTTTGCAAATTCTTTTCGTTTCTCTAAAGATTTCTTCTGCCACTGTCTATCTTCTGAAGCAGATTTACTTTTCTTTTGCCTTTTCTTCTTTTCTATTTCTGCCCTTCTTTGATTATAGTTTCCCCGCTTTTTTTTCTCTCTCTCTTTCATTTTTCTTTTTTGTTGCACTAAATCACATTCACAAATATGGTGACATTGACATATTGCCTGTATTTTCTTCTTAACTATTTTGCTTGATTTTTTTGCTAACTTTGAACTAGGTACAGGCACTACTAGTCCGCTTCTATGGTGAACATTTCTTTTTGCAACTTTTTCTGACTGTAGAACTTTCTCACCAGTATGTTTCGGTTTTCTCACTCTGGGCTTAGGCGATGAAGCATTTTTTGATTTTGTATTAGTTTCTTCTAGTGGTTTAATAGTGTCACCCATAGATCCTTTAGTTTTCTTAACTTTAATTCCCTGTTTTTCGTTCCCACTATCACATGGACAGCAATTATTGTCACTTTCATGGTTATTTTGTGGAATATTGTGTTCTTTTATCATAATTTTCAGACCATTACGCTTATGTACATTTTCTGATTGAGTACGAGGCACGCTATTATTACACCTTCTACACTTTCGTTTGCGTCTCTTTTTTTGGCGATTGGTCAAATTATCAGATCGACAAAACATTCGCGCACAGAAACCTGAAACTCTTGACGTTATATTTTTTAATGAAGCTGTATCCAAATTGCCTCTCAATGTTTTTTTGTTATGTGGTTTTCCACATGTACAACACTTTTGTGGGATCTTGCACGTATCTTCCTCACATTCATCATATTTCATAGGTTTTTTACATGTACATACAACGCGCGTATTACGTTCTTTACATTTTTTCTTGCAAATACCTGAACGACACAATTTATTGTTCTGTCTTTTGATATCTTCCAGTTTACTTCGCATTTCATTCGTATTTATAATACACATATTACCAGAATCAACATGGACTTCAAATAAAGGCTTATTGTCGTTTTTTGGAGAATCATCTACACATAGGCAATTTACATTATTTTTTAATGGCACAGCTTGTTCACACGTAGAATCTGAACAAGTCCAAACTTTGTTTTTCAAACACTTGCAAGTAAAGTTTGTCTGTTTATGTTTTAACGCTTTTCTACATGCTCCATTTAAACATGCTTCTTTTTCAAGGATATACTGTCTCTTGACTGCGTGTGAGGGGCAAACGCATTTTTCTCTTTTCTTCTCACGCCCCAGACACATAACTTTATTTTTGATCTCTGATGAATTCAATACACACATATCCACGTCGTTAACTTTAATTTCAAATAATGGATCACCAGTTTGCTCTTTTTCGTTTTGTACAACAACGCTTCCTTTCATGTGATCTCTTGCTGAATATTTGTTTATCGATTTTAACCGGTTGTGTAATTTTTGACTTAGTGTTTGAGATACAGGTGACATGATTTTTGAACGATTTTTACAAGGAGTACATGTTTTATCTGTACATTTATCAACTTTGAGTTCGTATGCGTAACAAATGTCTTGTTCACCTTGATTGTATGCATCTATACAAATATTTTCTTTTCTAATTTTGTTAGCGTTCACTGTACCTTTCCAGTCGTTACTCAATTTTATTTTTTTAGAATATTTTCGAAATACATCAGATACTTTTTCTTTTATTTTTATCATTGAACTTTTTCTAACCACATTTTTATCTTTAGGATTATCTTTTCCATTTACTGATTTTTTGGGACTTTCTGAAAAATTACACTTGCAAGGTCTGTCTTTGTTAGGCTTACAAATCTTTCTTTTATGATATAAACTAATTAGAGACGTTTTGTTAAACGTTTTCTGATTTGCGTTAACTAATTTTGAGGACATCTTTGTGGTACAACACTCTGCTTTTGTTTTAACACTTATCTTTTTTTCCTTTTTACTTTGAACTCCAGTATTTCTCCAGCATGTTTGGTTATTTGTCTTCGGTCTATATATTTTTTTGGTAGATTCTATTTGCTCATTGAAATTGTCCGTATCAGTGGCAGTTTTATAAGTAGCATCCTCGCTGCATATGGTATTAGGACAGGATTCATTTAAGCCATCGTTTGTTTTGACTTCATTAGTTTCAGTGCAAGCTGATTCAGCTTTAGTTAGAGTAGATCCTACACTGTTATCCTTGCATTGAATATTTTTCTGAGTCTTTCTGCTCTTATATCCCACACCGAATGAATAGGGATATAAATGGGAAATTCGACAAGTATATACCTGTATAACTTTATCAATCTTTGGGAATAGCACAGATGTTGCTTTGTTGCAATAAATCATTGCTAGATCATGTTCACACCAGTCACCACTCCCTAACGAGCAACATGATGATTCAAATATTTTTAATTAATTTATATTTTTATCACTGGAATTTTAATTTGATTGAATGGCAGTAATGACTGTCAAAAATGACAAATTACAAGGACCTTTGCGTGGCTTCGAGTAAACAGTTTCACAAGGAGGCGGATTAAGGTCAAAATTACACACGTCTTATCAATTCAGAAAGGGATCGTAACCGTATCGCCTTTCTCCTCGCCATTAACTAGGTGCTAGGCAGCGTGTCAACCTAACGTAAGCACGTAAAGGGATTTGGTCACCTCGGCTACGGATAGGCGACGCTGCACCAAAGAATTAAAAATCCTGATATTTTGATACTGCCAGATCATTTTGGGATCATCAGTTTTTAGGAAACAGCGTACCAACCTTGCATCGGTTTATTGAGCTGGGATTGTGGCTGGGAGCAGTGATAAGGATAACCTTTTTTTTAAAGAGCTTCTCGTGGTAAGTATGCTAGTAGTGAGTTCACCACAATAGTGCGGCGCGGATTGAAGCCGCGTTCCTCGAATCACGAGTCGGCCAGTCCGACACCTCCATCGTTCGGATAACATCGCTTCACAACCTTGACTAACACCTTCACACCTTTGTGTAAAACCAATGCGGGTTTACGAGCCCCACTCAATAGACTGTTGTCCATTTACAACCAGAACTTTAATAGCATCGATTTTTCCCAGAGTTCCTCAAGATTTAAAAAGCATATTTTAGACACTCTGCAAAGTGACCAAATTAAAATTAAGATAAATTAAATGAAAAAAAAAACAGAACAAAATTAATAATTAAAAGTCTGAACATAATATTAATTACTTCTTGGTGTTGAGCTACACCGCGTTTATAAGGTGTACCTTAATTGTAATTGCCTCGCTCTATATTACATGGTTTCATTATCAATATGTGGATTACGTAGTGGGATGTGTTACCACATAAATAATACATAAGTCTAGTAGATAAGTTAATTTTTGTAACACATTTGTTTGTAATTCCTAAAATAAATAAATAAATAAATTGACTAAGTATTACTATTCATTCCATCCATACCTTTCGTCATTCATCTCCTACAATATTTTTTCGGAGTTCCAATGGTTTTAGGTTCTATAAAGAAAATATTTTAGCTGTAAAATTGTATCGTAATATGAATTCATGTCCCATAATCATTCGTCCCTAAACTACTCGTAATTTAAAATCCTGTAAAGTGATGAAATTATCATACATACCTAGTTGTTAAAAATAAAAAAGACGTACATTGTCATTGATAAATAATATATTTTTCAAGTTACTTAAAACAAAATACAGAATGCTCACTTATTTCACCAGACAAGTCACTTGTACAACGCACTAACCAGTACACAATAAGCAGCAGCACAGACCCCTCATAGCTTCACAAAACACGATACACGGTGTCCAGCACGCAAACGCTAGCACAAAGAGGCACAGATGCCAGAAATTCCTCGTGAACGCCAAGCAACTTAAGCATTGCGGGTAAAATTCCGGGCAAACGTGGTAAACCCACAAACAAGGCGTTTTCCGTAACGTTGTCAGTAGCGCATGACGACAACCGTAAATTGCTGCATCTTGTCTGTGCCGGACCCTTTTTTTCCTTTTTTTACTTTCCATCGCAAAGGTATCTTGCTCTTTTTTAGTTTTTCCCCTGTCAGCAAACGCTTGGTACACGGGACTCTCCTTAAATGTATCAGAGAGAATGCTAACTGTCTCCGAATTGTTCATACATTTCGTAATTTTCAACTTTCGGATTCGCCAACCGCGTCTCACGTATCGTTTTATTGAAATTAATGTGCCTTGAGGGTCTTGCATCCTTTCCCTTGTGTACCAGTAGCTTCCTTTCGGATCAGTAATAATTTTAAACAATCCACCAAAGAAAATCTTGATGGTATGGAAACCAATTGAAAATATAGTTCCAAAAATTTCTACACAACAATTAGTATCTCTAGCTCCGTCTTTACTTTCTAATAATTTCAATACTTCCATCTCTTCTTTCATTCGATTCTTCCGCCTCTTATTTTCTTCTTTCATAGCTTTGTTTCGGTCTTTTGCAAATTGTTTTCGTTTCTCTATTTCCTTCGTCCATTTTTTGTCTGAAGAGGCAGAAGCTTTTTTCTTTCGTTTGCTTCTTCCTCGATTATAGCCTTTCGATTTCTGTTTCTCTTTCATTTTTCTCTTATGTTCTTCTAAAGCACATTCACAAATGTGATGACACTGACATATTGCTTGTATTTTATTTAATTTTGAAGGGGAGACGGGTACTATTATTCTATTTCTTTGACGAACTTTCTTCTTTGCAGCAGGTTTAGTAGGTGTAATTTGTGGTGATTTAGTCATATCACCCATATTTCTTTTAGGTTTTTCAGCTCTCATGCCATTATCACACGGACAACAGTTGTCATAACATTCATTATTTTGCTTTTTTATCATAATTTTAAGACCATCACGCTTATGTACATTTTCGGATTGGGTTCGAGCTATGCTATTATTACATCTCCTGCAATGTCGTTTGCGTCTCTTTTTTTGGCGATTGATCCAATTATCTGATTTGAGCATTCGGGCACAGAAACCTGAAACTTTCGATGTTATATTTCTTAAAGAAGCCGTATCTAAATTATTTCTCATCGTTTTTTTATTGCGATGTTTCCCACATTTACAACATTTTTGTGGGAGCCTGCACGTATCTTCAGCGCATTCATCATATTTCATAGATTTTTTACAATTACATACAACGCGCGTACTAGGTTCTTCAGATTTGTCCTTGCAAATACCTGAACGACACAATTTATTATTCCGCCTTTTGATATCTTCCATTTTAAGACGCATTTCATTCGTATTAATAATACACATATTATTGGAATCAAATTGCATTTCAAATAATGGCTTATCATGTTCTTTAGAAGAATCATCTACACAAAGGCAGTTATCATGTTTTTTTAAAGGCTCAGCTTTATCACATGTGGAATCTGTACAAGTCCAAACTTTATTTTTCAAACACTTGCAAGTAAAGTTTGTCTGTTTATGTTTTAACGCTTTTTGGCATGCTCCGCTTAAACATGCTTCTCTTTCGAGGATGTACTGCCTTTTGACTGCGTGTGAGGGGCAAACGCATTTTTCTCTTTTCTTCTCATGGCCCAGAGATATAACTTTGTCTTTGATCTCTGATGAATTCAATACACACATATCCATTGGGTTAACTTTTATTTCAAACAATGGATCACCAGTTTGTTCTACTTCGTTTTGTACTACGACACATTTTTGAATGTGATGTTTTGTTGATTGTTTATGTATAGCTTTCAATTTATTGCGGAGCTTTTGACTAAGTGTTAGTGATCCTGACGACTTGTTTTTACTAGAATATGTATTATCTTTATGCTTACATTCATTACAAATATCATGTTTGTTTTGGTTTTTACAGACGCTTTGTTCATCGGTTTTGTTAAAGTTACCTGCTTCATTCCGACCATATCTTATTTTGATCCTTTTAGAACATTTTCGAAGTATGTCAGAAACTTTTTCTTTTATTTTTACTACTGAGTTTTTCCTAACTAATTTATTATCTTTATGGCCACTTTTATTTGTACATTTTACAGGAGGCGCTGTTTTCGTTTTCATCTCGCAAGAGCAAGCAAAATTTTTGTCTTTGAGTTTTATTCCCTTTGGGCACAGGCCCTTCTCACAAGTATTGTTATTTTTGGGTATCATTTCAAATTGCTTATTTTTATCTGCACTATTGTTTTCATTAATATGAGGATTGTCTTCAAATCGACATTTACACAGTCTCCTTTTGTTAGTTTTACAAGTCTTTCTTTGTCGATACAGACTAATCAGTGACTTCTTATCAAACTTAGTCTGTTTAGTGTTGACTAATTTAGAACACATCGTATTAGGGCAGCATTCAGTTTTAGTTTTTACATTCATTCTTTTTTCTTTTTTACTTTGGACTCCAGCATCTCTACGAGATATTCGGCTTCTTTTCTTGCGTCTATATAATTTTTTGATACTTATCAATTGCCAATTATTGCTGCATTTGCCCTTGTTACTTACTTTTCTATTGCTAAGAGCAGGAGGTTCCCAATATTGGGTTGTATCTTCTGAGTAATTCATATTTATACCACATAGATTTAGCCTTATCTACTAGGTAGTCCAGTTGTTACTTCATCAGTGTCATCTATACCTACTGTACACTGGATTAATTTAAGACTTAGAGACTACTACTCTCTCATCCTTGTAGTGTTTTTATGTAGGAAAACCTAAGACACCATCTGTATCGCAATAAGACTTAGGTTACTTGTTTGTAATATCTAGTACTACCTAAAAAGTAGTACCCTGTATGATTTATTCATTTTTCCATACAAAGGTATCTTTTTGAAATCTTAAAAGTAACTAATTTAAATTATTTTTATCACTAAAATTTTGAATGACAAAGAGTGAAAAGTGACAAGTGACAATAAGAGACAATAATGAAAGTTTTTATGAATCCGCGTGATGGGCAGGTCACTCTGTGTCCCTGTGTCCGTAATATCCCAGAGACGCCATAAGAAAAAAAAGGTTTTGACAAAAAGGCTATGGAAAATGCGTATGAACAGCGCCCCAACAGCGCCCTCGACAATGTAACTGGGACGGTTCAGTCATCAGTGTTGGACGAACGTTCTGTGCCTAAAATAATGATGATGATATTATAATAGTATTTTTCTTTAGGAAAACCACAAAAATATATGATCACAATTTAATGCAATAATAATTAATTGACATTTTCAAACAGTTCAACAGTTTGTATAGGTCGCACAGCACAGCACAGCACAGCAAGAGTTGAGGCACGTGGACTATTTTTTAAATACACAGTACCTAGGTTTTTTTAAGATTCCGTAACCAAATGGCAAAAAACGGAACCCTAGATTCGTCATGTATGTTTGTCTGTCTGTCCGTCCGTATGTCACAGGCACTTTTTTCCGAAACTATAAGAGTTATAGCTGTTTTTGTTATAATTTCTCAATTTTCGTAGGTCGTACGTATGTAAAGTTAGGAATGTATTGCGGAAAATTTGGCAGAAAATTATGAGTTAGGTTGATGTGTCCGTCACTAAAATAATTATTATTGTTCGTGTGCCTGTACTATCCTTATTTAATATTGGAAATAATATTGACTATTTCTTAATCTGGGGGCACGGCAGTGGCCCCCGCCAAGACGAGCCAAGCGACAAGCAACCTACAAGCCTAGATGAAGATGATACGAAGAAGCTGAAGCCCAGAAGTAGAGCATCACTAGGGCTACCAGAATCACTGCGACTTTTCAGAGTTTTTTTTTTACAACTTGCAGAATTTAAGTTAACATTCGTGTTATGGATGTAAATACTTCTGAATCAGCTAGGCCTAGTATTCATCTAATAATAATAAAAAATCAGGCATGTACCCTATCACAGATGACTGTGGCGCGAATAGATATCACTTTTAACACTTTTTTGATGACAAAAAAGTGCTTAAGCACAGTAAAACAATCATATCTCGTAAACTATCAAAAATCGCGGAACATATTTCGGATTCGGATAGCCCTAGTGATGCTCTACCTCTGGGCTTCGGCTTGACACTACTTTTTGGGACACCCTGTATATTATGAACAATAGTTATGATGGCAAAATGTCTATGCCACATAATATTATTTTGACTAATGTGTAGAGTTTGTGAAGATAGGTCGAGCCGAGTAGAGTTAGAAGCTTGGCTCTACATGAGATCTGATAACTTTTTCACGATGCAAACCATAATTTAATTTTATGGACTCGTCTTGGCAACATTTTACATGAAAATGTTTTTGGTGGGACGTTTATTTCAATAATACCTAAATAAATTATACAATAGGAAAATAGTATCATTTAATGTTATACCGTGTGATAGCGTGGTAATTAAGATGTGGCGTTGTGAAGTTTTACTCGTACTTATGAGTATTCAAGTCTCTTTGTGTGTTGGTTAGTGTTGCTAATTTTTATATTAATTTTGTGTTGGTTTGTATCCTACATATTATGTGCAATCGTGGACTGATAAATCTAATAATAATGAACTAAGTTAACTTCACAAACGTGAACCTCAGTTATCTGTGATCCCTACTACAATATTATAAATACTTTTTTACTTTACTATTATTAAATTAAATAAACACTTTACAATTACAAAAATGTATCTATGTGCCGCTTTCGTATATAAGGTTGACCTGTGTAACGAGAGTCAGGCTCCTCCTCAAAAACATACTCGTAGACTAAATCAGTGTTTAGAGTGAATTTTATCTTTAATTTTAAATAGAAAAACAAAACAAAAATGTACGTGTGTGATAGTGTAAATGTGATTTTGTGTGTAAGTGAATAAGTAAATGTGCTAAGAGAAACTACTTAGTAAATTGTCTGGAGTAACTTTTCTAAAGTGTCGTATCCATTCTATAATACGTTTTTTAAACGTTACCGAAACAAGTTGTGTAATGTCTTTATTTGATGCAAGTATTTTGTTGTACCTACAGTCTAGGGGCCATGTGTAAGAAATGCCGTTTCATGAGTCCTGCCTGAGTGTGTAATAATAGAATAGTGAACCTAGGGCGAAATGCTTGTCTATGTCGCTTTCACGTCTAAACCACTGAACCGATTTTGATAGAGATAACTAGTTTGAGTCCTGGGAAAGAATATAGGATAGTTTGTATCCCGGTTTTTAAAACAAGTGTTTCTGTGACAGACAAAATTTCACGCAAAATATAGCTAGCTAAAGGTAATAGCTAGGTAGCAGCTACAAGGTACAGTCAAAAGTATTTTATGCTAAATAACACAACGACTGCATAAGATACCACTGTATAAGCTATTGATGTACTTTCGTCTGTTCAATAGGGTAAAATCTTTTAATCAAGTCATTTTTTTATTATTACAGACAGCCCTATTAATGGAAAAAATTCAACTAATAGTAGACGAATCAATTGCAAAGATAACATTAAAGTAAGTCTACCTCCGATTATTTTTTTTTACTAGCTGACCCGGCGAACTCTGTTCCGCCTTAAAGGCAATAAATAAGCCATCGCAATTTTTCCTTATTTGCTCACCGTTTAGACCTACCCTGGACTACGGCTACGATAAACATTTTAAAACCAAAATCAGCTCAATCGGCCCAGCCGTTCTCGAGTTTTAATCAGACTAACGAACAGCAATTCATTTTTATTTATACATATAGAAGATAGAAGATAACCATGATTTTAAAACTACCATGTCTTAACTGAGTCTGTGCTAGCTAGGCCTCATTAATTAGCCTAGGCGCAGACTACCGACTTTTATTTGCCCTATAGTTGAGTCGGGCTGTTAATCAGTATTTACATATTGTATGAGAGTGGCTGAGAGTGCGCACATTACACTGATTTGGTACCGGCCGATTCTTCATACAAATTAAAATCGTGCCCAACTATCGGCCAACTAAGTCGGTAGTCTGCGCCTAGCCTTACGGAATCAATGATAAGTTTGTGTCATTTTACAATTAGGAGAACCAAAAATTTTTGGCGACCAAAAACATTACATTGCCATAACATTACATTAATAAAATTGTACTATATTTACAGACGATAAAGAGCGAAAGATATAAGTGCTTAAGTAATTATGCTCTACGTCGTCCATACAATATTCCGGGGTACGTATTAAAATTAATTTTAATTAAAATAGTAATTTTGACGTGAAAATTAACAGAAAAGATCCTCTATGGAAAAAATTGAAACAAGACAACATAATATTAATTATATACCTTACTTATCTTTCCCGCCAAGATAAGTCTTCAATATTCAATGTAGTTTTTTTCAGGTCTGGAATGGTCTGTAATGAATCGCGTCTTATTGAAGAGTATTTTGATCAGGAAGTAATAAAAAACATATCACCGTGTTCTAAAAAAACTCCAATCAGCGTCATTTTGTTGCGACAACGTGAAAAAATTCGCAGGTTTATAGAGTGTAAGTAAAGCGAGCGGCGCAGGACCGGTCTTTGTGGAAATCCTTGGGGGATGCCTTTGTCCAGCAGTGGAAGTCTTTCGTTTCGTTCGTTTCAGCCGAAACGAACGAAACCACCTGATGGAAAGAGATCACCATCAAAAGCGCCATGATAAGTTCATATTTTATGTTGAGTGAACCTTTTGATTTGAACTGGGTATGACACAGTTACACTGCTAATTTGACCATTGTAAAAATACTTTCCTGTACGGTTCCGCACCTCAAGAGAAAAACCGGAACCCTTTTATGATTATCCTTCTGTCAAGAGTCGCATTTATAATATCAGTATAGAACTGATATTATAAATGCGAAAGTAACTCTGTCTGTCTGTCTTGCTTTCACGCCTAAACCACTGAACCGATTTTGATGAAATTTGGCATTGAGATAGTTTGAGTCCCGGGAAAGGACATAGGATAGTTTTTGTCTAGGTTTTTGAAACAGGGACGCGCGCGATAAAGTTTTTCTGTGACAGACAAAATTCCACGCGGGCGAAGCCGCGGGCGTAAAGCTAGTCATCTATATCGAAGAAACTCACTACTCAAGCACGATAATACTTACACTCCTCCTTCGATCATCATTTCAGCCACAGGATGTCCACTGCTAAACATAGACCTCCCCCAATAATTTCCATTTAGACCGGCTGGTGGCGGCCTGCATCCAGCGCCCTTCCTGCTAAAGCCTGGTCTGTGAGCACGTAGAATTTATCCTTATCGCTCGAGCGTAATTATGTTGCTGTCGCGCTCGCACACTCACTGCGGGCGCGCGTCGCACAGTCGCGACAGCAATATAATTACGTGCGAGCGATAAGGATGGGTAGCTTGGGATCATTGGACAAAATTCTACGTGCTCACGGACCAGGCTTTACATACCTTTATAAGGACGTAGATCCTTGGGGGTGGAGGTCCCAGACGGCGTATTTCGGTACGTGTCATGTCGCATTGAAGGATGACAGACGACATTGAGTTATAAGTACAATGTCGTAGATTTCCACGATACGAGTGTTGCATGCGCGATGCTACTTCGCAGCGTGAAGCGACGACGTAGGTATCGTGTGGTATCGTGTTCATGTGTAAGAGCCCTAAAATCCTCTCTTGTAAAGTTTAATAAGCTGATTGATTTAATCTGTTACAGCATCCAGAGACGTCGAGACGGGTCAATGTGTAGATATATATGGGGAACATGCTATGAGCAGTTGCAAAAAATCCCTAAGCAACCCGCGTAGCACAAGATCTATAGTTAGTAAAATAATTTTGTGATTAACCCTTTATCAAAATAAGCCCCTCTTGAGCGATTTTTTTGGTTCGGGGAGCCCCGACGAAATAAAGCTTGAGAAACCCTGGTTTAGGGCATTGTGTCCAGTACCTCTAGCCCCCTCCACCTGCTACCACAGGGGGGGCTCCCGATGTCTACCGACGGAAATCTACTCAGGAGCATCCAAAGAACAACTGGTGCAAAAATGAGCCTTCTATACCAAAGTGGAGGGGTTCTTGCACTAAATTCCCTACTATCTCGGGAGCACTCAGATTAACAACTGGCCCCGTGGTGTCGCTACTCACCAACAGCTCGCCACAAAGCTGCCCTGCGGGGCTTATATTATTATTAATAATAATAGTGTTTATTCCGCTGTTTATTAAATAAACTAAAGCAAGAAACCTACACCTAACCCTACAGGAGTCTGTCATGATTTCGAAGGACTGGGACTTTTTTGCTGAGGTAAGGTCGCGGAAAATCCGCGTAAAATTCGCAATTTACGCGGTTTTCTGGATCTAGCTAACACGGCACCAAGCATACGCGGCTGATTCCTGGAAGAAACGTTCTTAACGTCAGATCCGTGGCTATTTTTTTTAATTACAGAAGAAAACTAAAATTATTTGGCAAAAGAGGACTGAAAAATAAACCATTTTGTCGATGAGGCACCCTCATAAATTAATATAATAGGAAGTGAAAAAAATTGTTTTAATTTATCTCGCCACGGATCTGACTATGCAAACCACGGATCTGCTGAGGTAAGGTTGAGGAAAAAGCGCGTAAAATTCGCAATTTACGCGGTTTTCTGGATCTAGCTAACACGGCACCAAGCATTCTGGGGCGATGAGGTTAAAAACTCGATGAATTCGGAACTGCAATATTTTGGGTAAAGCACATTTCTTCTAGGCAGCATAAGCAAGATTCATATTCACAAAACGACGAAGATGTTTAAGACTTAGACCAGGCAGCAAAGGATGCCATGTGTTTTTCCGGAAGTGGTTTGGACGTCTGTCAAAGTTGCATACCATGTGCATGTAAACTTTTATCACAGTATAACATGAATATCAGCACGTACACCGCCTTATACAGTGTGAATCACGTTAAAGTGTACATATGAAATTAGGTGAAACTAGACCTATTTTTATCGGCAAAAAAGACGTCAAAATTTTTTTTTTAGATTTTATTGAAATTTTTTATAGAATTTTTTTTCTTCCAATTACTTATTGTAAAGAAAACGTAATAACTTTTAAACTAAGAGGTATATCTTGATAAAATAAAAACATTAATAATGCTAAATAACTGACGATACTAAAAAAATACATAAAATACCCTGAAAATGTACTATATTACTTAGTATTATTCTCTATCGTATTACCTTTGTAAAACCAAAACTTGCATGTCTCTATCCCTATCACAACATTTGCTATGATCGTTTGAACAAAGGCCTGCCACAACATTATTCTCCGCTACAGGTAGGGACAATTTTATAAAATGATTATTTTACTTCGAAATCTTTTGTTTTTATTTGAAATCTAACTTGTCTTTATCAAAATTACAAATCTAGAGCCATTTTCAGTTTCGTTGTTAACGAAGCGTTGAATGGCGCGCCCGGAGAGGCTTAATTCAAACGATCATTGCAAACGTTGTGATAGGGATAGAGACATGCGATTTTTGGTTTTACAAAGGTAATACGATAGAGAATAATACAAAGTAATAAAAACCACCGGTTATAGAGGCATTTTTTGGAGAAATTTATCAAATAACCAAAAAAACACGAATTTAAAAGCGGTTTTTTTTTTCAAAAAGTATCATTTTTTATTATTTGTTGGCATTTTCTGAGTATTTTATGTATTTTTTTAATATCGCCTGTTATTTAGCATTATTACTGTTTTTATTTTATCAGGATATACCTCTTAGTTTCAAAGTTATTACGATTTCTTTACAATAAGTAACTGGAAGAAAAAAAATCTTTAAAAAATTCAAAAAAAAAAAACTCAAAAAAATTTTGACCTCTTTTTTGTCGATAAAAATAGGTCTAGTTTCACCCATTTTCATATGTACACTTTAACGTGACTCATACTGTATGTTGCATATTGTGTAATTCTCATAATTTCATTCACGCAAGTGACTTGTGAGAGACGATTTTCAGCATTAGAGCGCATTAACCCTTATTCAAATGCGAGCTAGTATGCATTTCTTTTACAAAGTTGAAGTGGATTTTGGGTAATTGTGGGTCACTTATTTCATATTTTTGATCAAAATTTATAAAAAAATAGGGGAAGGGGTAGTTTTTTGGGTGGTAAATAATTTACCATTATCCATTCATGACTACAAATTATTAAATGTTGGTGGTAAAATAGTTACCATTGTCCGTTTTGGTTTATTTTTGGTTCTTGACTAGTGACTTCCTCTTGGTTCTACCTATATTTTATATTTCGTTTTGTTTTTTTTTATTCGTTCTCTACTGGGGCAAGAACTGTTAGATTCGTTAATTATATTAAATACAGAATCGGATCTAATCAAGGATGACGAAAACAGCAGCTTTTACGATCGAGTCATTAACTGCTTAACTGAAAGTTCTACTCTTTTAAAAAAAATGTTGATTTATATTATTATTTGTTATTAGTACCTACCTACTTATTATGTCACTTTATTTTAGTATTGTAATTTTTTTTTTATAGTTTGTTTATCTCAATTTGTGTATCTCAGTATTTTTCGATAGTATCCCATCACCATGATCTAGTCTCGGGCCTTGGGATTGCGATCAGCCACCCGGGCCCTTCCGGCCCAGTCCGAGACCCTGTCTAGGACGAACATTTTTCGTCTTCGAATCGTTTGCGTCTTCGACAAAATTCGATACTTCGAATTGAACGATAATGTGACGATCTCGATTGTCAAAATTAGTTTTGTGCTACCATTTCTCATACTAAGTTTACTTTACGTCACGTTCACAAGGGCGCTGTTTATGTTTTCATGCTAAATCTCTTGATGGCGATTTGAAATCGAAAGTTTTTCGTGCTAGATGCACAGTGCCCTATTCCAGTAAAAGTTGCAAGTCGCATAAAACTGATTCAACCATTTTTTGTAGGAATTTATTTTGGTGCTTTATTGTACTGGTATTACAAAAAAGGCACTTTTGGATTATTAAACGGTGAATTTTTATTATTTCAGAAAACTGACAAAGATTGCGCGCTATATGAGCTTCTGATTAAGTGTGTCATAAAAGATTTGGATGATCATTGCACTAAATACAATCAAAGCATTGTACCTGCTATTATTTATTTGAATGAAAATAATTGCCAGCCTACCAATCAAGTAAGTAAAATAAATACAAATAATTTTATTATAAAGGGTTTGTTTGTTTTGATACTAAACCAAGTAGGACATAATTAATTAAATAGTGCCTAGACAAACACCAATAGGATTTAAGACACACTACCTATACCCTTATAACGAATGAATGTAAGTAATTTATAATAATACCTAAATACAATAAATAAATTGTTTTGGTTTAAGGATCAACCTAAAGTGACAAGTGATTCAAAATCTCCCAAAACTTGGATCATTATCGGAGGAATCGTTGGTGTTTTATTAGTTATTATCTTAGTGACTTGCCTATTTTGGAAATATTTAAAAAAAGTACGAGTACAAGATCTATCGTATAATGTAAGCTTCTACCCATCAAATGAGAATAAAGAAACAAAAAGTTAACTGGTTTTCTTTTTTACATAGAATAGAGTGCATAGATTTTAGTTACCCAGTACCTCCCTCAGTCCCTCCTAGCTCCTTATACAGGGTATATTTAAAACTGCAAAAAAATTGAGAAACGTAAAAAATCTAACGCTCATAGTCATCAAAATTTTAGTACATTACAGAAAGAAATAGAATAAAGCAAAACCCTGGAATAAAGTGCTCTGAACCATAATAGTAGGTAATAAGGAGTATTGCATATTATGCGCAAAACAATTGCGTCTGTAAGACTGAGGACAAGTAGAAATGGAATCTTGGAAATGATTGCTGAAAGAAAAAATATGAGGACCTCCGGAACAAAAGCCGACAACTTTTACTTTGCCCAATTTTTTATGCTTTTTTTTTCTGCTAGCCCTAGTAGGGTAATTGCGCTGGTTTTCCGCATAGCTCCTGTTTTGCGTTCTTCTAAATGTGCAGGTGTGTGTATTTATTTTAGGATAATAAGTAATAATAAATAATAATAAATTTTTTATTTATCTCTCACACACATAACATCAATTACATTGATTGATATTTACATTTAAGATGTTACACAATATTTATATTTAATTAATTAATCCTTAATTATGCTACACTGTGTGTGAGAGACTGGAGCCTGAGATAGGTTTCCGAAGAAACCCGTATTACAGGTAATAAGTATTCGTTATTAAATTAATTAATAAAATGACGTATTTATTAAATATTTATTTATTACTTACTTCATTATTTCTACACATAATAGTAGGTAGGTATTAACTACTTATAGTATTAACAATTAAATAAACGATACACTTGCAATACTACGCCTCCCCATAAGACCTGTATAGTGTATACTGTATATGAATGAGATACGTAAGCGCTGTCGCAGTCCCAAGTTTTTATTGCCCCATCGGCAGTGAGTCTATTTTGTGACGTTGCTGTTGATTGTACAATGTCGAAGGACAGGGAAGACATAACGCACTTTGCAAAAACTCGTATGCTTGTGGGCTGATGTGGTATAAATTTAAGCAGTAAATGATGTAGTCCTCATCGTATCGATTTCCTTTTCCATGTTGTTTTAGTTTACTTTGTGCTTTTATCAGGAGAGCCAGTTTGTCGGTCAAAAATTTATCGCAAAGTCGATGGAAAGTATTTTCTTCAGCTTTTTGTTTTTTATTTTCAGTTTCGAGTAATTTTATTTTCTTTTTGCATTGCCGGAGTTCAGCCTTCAATTTCATTATCCTTGGAGTGTTACTAGAGAGACTCTTTGAGGTTTGAGCAAAAGTTTTATTCGTTGCCTTTTTAGTCTGTGTAAAATTTTCCTTTCTTTCCAACGGAGCAGTTTGAGTTTCTTTGTCTTCTTTTAGAGAATCTTCTGGGACAGTACTGACTAAGCTTGGCAGCATCAACAAAGGCAGGGCATTCTTTTTTAAAAGTTTTCGGTTTGACGATTGTAGTATATCCTCCACATTAAAATGTTTTTCACAAACACGGTAGGAAGCAAAGTTAGATTTGTCTTTCAAATCATCTCGATGGATCAGTAGCAACCATTGATGACATCTGAAAAAAAAAACGTAATTATATTGCTGTCGCGACTGTGCGACGGGCGCCCGCAGTGAGTGTGCAGCGCGACAGCGACATAATTACGCGCGAGCGATAAGGATGGGTAGCTAGGGGTCATTGGACAAAATTCTACGTGCTCACGGACCAGGCTTTAGCAGGAAGGCGCTGGATGCAGGCCGCCACTAGCCGGTCTACTAATTGTAAAAATACCTACTTGTTTGTTATAAGACACCCGTGATCACATTTCACAAACGATGCTTGCTTATGTAAAGCAGCGAAGTCAAACGCACAGCGTTGAATAGAGCTCTGTGATTGGTTCGTGTGTGTCACTTCGCCACTCAAGTATTGTCTACCTAGGTTTTCGGGAACCTATGTGTCCACGCGCACTATAAGGTCTCCTCATAGTAATGTTTGTGAATACGGGTGTTACAAGGCTACAAAGTCATGTTTGCTTTCACATACACGTGTCAAGCAGACGGCATTCGCGTTCGCACTGGTCCAAGATGGTCCGAGATAAAGCGTAGGTAGCGCAATTTGTTGTCTTCTATTCATATAGACACGCGGTAGCGTGTCAAGCCAAGTTCAAGCAAAGGAACTGGCTAGCCAGCGCCGAGTGTAATATTACACGAACCATTTGGTGCCACTTTTGACCCTTCTCTAACTCAAAACATCTTTAACATAAACACATAAAACTACATGTTTAAATTATAAGGACACCTAGAAGCCCAAATTTCATGAAGCTAGCTCAAACGGTTATAAAGATGAAGGTCAAAAAGTCGTGAATTTTGGTATTGACTGACTGACTCATAGTACCTAATTCTAACCTTCTTCCAGATGACCTAGAAGGATGAAATTTGGAATCCAGCTCGGTAAGTGTGTGTAAGCGTAGGAAAAAATAAAAAAAAGTTAAAAAATAGGGGGGTCCCCATATTTTTTTTTGGAACCGTTACAAGCAGATCTTTAAAACTATCCCAATATAATTATGTATTATTATATTTGCTATACATAGTATAATCCCAACTAATATTATAAATGCGAAAGTAACTCTGTCTGTCTGTCTGTCTGTCTGTCTGTCTGTCTGTTACGCTTTCCCGCTTAAACCTCGCAACCGATTTTGATGAAATTTGGCATAGAGATAGTTTGAGTCCCGGGAAAGAACATAGGATAGTTTTTATCCCGGTTTTTGAAACAGGGACGCGCGCGATAAAGTTTTTCTGTGACAGACAAAATTCCACGCGGGCGAAGCCGCGGGCGGAAAGCTAGTAGAAATATAAAAATAAAGTTAAATCAAAAATAAAATAAGTGGTGTCCCCATAAAAAAAAAACCAGTAATACGCCCTAAACAACCGTCCAACTGCAACGGTGTGTCGGCGGCGGCGCGCGGCAGTTTTTATCAGAATTAAAAAATATTATGTTGAATCTATACTAATAATACTTATAATACTATAATACCTACTACTATTATAAATGGGAAAGTAACTCTGTCTGTCTGTCTGTCTCTCTTTCACGTCATAACTACTGAACCGATTTGAATGAAATTTGGTACACTAGAGCCTGAGAAAGGACATAGGCTACTTTTTATTGCAAAAAAGGGGTTTTAAGGGGTTAAAAGGGGGATGAAAGGTTATATGAAAGTACTTGCTTTCACGTAAAAACTACTGAACCGATTTGAATGAAATTTGGTACACAGATAGTCTAGAGCCAGAGAAATGACATAGCCTACTTTTTATTGCTAAAAAGGGGTTGTAAGGGGTTGCAAAGGGGGATGGATGGTTGTATGAACCGATTTGAATGAAATTTGGTGCACAGATAATCTAGAGCCTGAGAAAGGACATAGGCTACTTTTTATTTCTAAGGTTGTAAGGGGTTGAGAAAAAAAAGGGGGGATGAAAGGTTGCATGAACATGGTTTGAATTAAATTGTGTACACAGGGTCTAGAGCAGTCTTTCCCAAAGTAAGTGGCGATAACGCCCCCTTGTGGGCGCTGCAGGCTTAAAGGGGGGCGGTAAGAGACCCAGAAAAAAAATCGGGACGTTGTGTAGAGGCTTGGGAGGCATTATTTACTAGGAGCACTCGACTCTCGACTACAAATGGGGGCGCTAAAAAGAATTTATTCTCAAAGTGGGCAGTAGACAAAATAAGTTTGGGAACCACTGGTCTAGAGCCTGAGAAAGGACGGAGGCTACTTTTTATTGCTAAAAAGGGGATGTAAGGGGTTGAAAAGGGGGATGGATGGTTGTATGAACCGATTTGAATGAAATTTGGAACACAGACAGTCCAGAGTCTGAGAAAGGACATAAGCTATTTTTAATGCGAAAAAGAGGTTGTAAGGGGTTAAAAGAGGGATGAAAGGTTAAATGAAGGAATTAGAATTAGAATCTTGAAACTTTTAGGCTTTTGATAAGCCAGAAATAAAAATGTCATTTAAAGTTTCTAAAAAGGGAGTAATAAAATTAAGGGATGAAAGTTTGTTTGGAAATTCGTTACTTTTGAAGCTAGAACGATGAAACTTTTTTTTCTCTCGATGTGATACTACTGTCACCAAGTCAGGGTCTGATGATGGGATCCTAGGGAAATTCCCAAATTTTTAAGTGACCCCTATGGTAACGCATAACAGGCATTTTGTTTTCATAGAGGTCACTTAAAAATTGGGGATTGGTGGTGAAAACGGGCATTAGACTAAATTATTAAAAGTGCCTACCTACCCAAAGTAATTATTCCATGCGGACGAAGTCGCAGGCACAGCTAGTAACTTTATAAAATGACTGATGTAATAAAACCTGGTCAAGTCAAATCTTTACGAGATCGAATCAGAAATGAGGAGATCCGTAAACGAACTAAAGTCGCTGACATAGCCCGACGGATCAGCAAGCTGAAGTGGCAGTGGGCAGGGCACATAGTACGCAGAACTGACGGCCGATGGGGCAGCAAGGTTCTGGAATGGAGGCCACGTACCGGAAAACGCAGCGTGGGACGTCCACCCACAAGGTGGACCGACGACCTGATAAAGGTAGCGGGAAGGCGCTGGATGCAGGCCGCTACCAACCGTGCGATGTGGAAGTCATTGGGGGAGGCCTATGTTCAGCAGTGGACGTCCTGTGGCTGAAATGATGATGATGAAGTCAAATCTAGCCAAAGGATTTGTCATATATTAACTTGGCACTCATTTGTATCTCCATTCTTTTTGCGGCGAAGCCCACAGCCAAGCATATTTTTTTTATATAACCTGTGCTATCTTGAACCGCCTACCTAAGTCTAACAATAACTATCATCTAAGTATGTATTTATTTATTTATTATATATTTTATATATTATTTATGTATATGTATAATATATTATGTAGCATATTTAATTAAAATATAAACAATAGACTCAGATTGTACTACATATTTCAAGACAAGTAGTTAATTATTTTTTTATTATATTGCTAATAAAATACAAATATTTTTTCAAGAATATTCTGCGTATGTAGTATGCGTAACATGGATAACCTTAAAGTGTCATACGGATCATCTTAGGTGAAAAAGACTATAATGTTAAAATTTTGGCATTGAAGTACATATAAATAAATACCTAAAACTGAAAGTGATTTCTTAGCCTTACCTTTCGGTGTTTCCAGGTAATTTAAAAAAAGTTGTTTCTGGGTGCGATAATGAGGAATTCATGCAACCAAAGACAGCACAATATTTTCTACATGCCATATTATTAGATGGCACGGTTACTGTTTTTAGACAACACAGAACACACTATCCGTTTCGTCACTGCGGCACATTTGCGACTGGTAGCATGCCGAGCGCATGCCGAGCCCTACAGCGCGCTTCGTCCATTTGTTATGAAATTAAATTTAGGCAAATATAGGTAAGTCTCTATTTAGATAAAAATGTAAACATGACGTAAACGTAAACAAACAATAATCTGAGAAACAATCACACACACACATGCAGCATGTCATCACTGAGCAAGTATAGATGACCCACGCTGAACTGTCCCGCCAAACTCAATGACAGGGGGGCGCTACCATCGTTCAACTTTATGGTTTCCAACATGGCAAAAATCGGAACCAGCGATTCGGTATTGACGGTGGCGCCCCGCTGTCAGTGTCATCGATAGGACAGTTCAGTATTTTGGACACAGATATGGATAGATGCAGCATGTGTCAAAAATTGTATGAAGCCGAGCGTGCCACTTTTTAAACGTCATTAGTGTCATTTTAGCGAATTTTAGTGATTGCCGCAACGTAAAAGTAATCGTATCATCGTACTGCATTTGCAGTCATCGAATGATATCGTGCGACTCGATTCGAAAATTAATTAATTCCGATAAAACTGATAATTTGTTAAATACAAAACCAAAAACATCTTTATTTACCTTTTTAAAATAAATTAATTCTTACAAATCGTCAAATCTCGTTTTTTTTTTAACCTACCAGCGTTTCAAAACATAAATTTGTCAAGTGCATGAATACATGCATCAGTGTGTGTCTTATTGTTATGAGTAAGTACGGTTCCTTGGGATCGGTATGAGTGCACCACATACAGGGACCATGGTTTTAACTCTTAAGAGTACATCGCAGGATATGTATTAAAAACAATGCTACTTTATACTTCTTCTACTGCTACTTTATTCTAATTAATTATTTGTTACTTGTGCTGTTAATTACAATTCTCAATCCGTAAATAATTTCTTCTTTCTCCCGTGTTCGTACTACTGTCCTCGTAAAATCATCGTAACCGATTGTTGTAATCGGATTACATGAACATCACTCGACCATGTATGTCCATTTGGACATATCGGAATGGCGCGCTTTGACGATCAACTTGCTGTATCTACTCTAATCCATATCTGTGATTTTGGAACTATATAAATGAACTATAATGTCATTAAAGGAAGACAGACGGCACGGTAATATTATCTATACAGACGGTCACAGAATATAAAACTTTTTTGACAGGCCCTAGAGGAAATTACTTTTTTTATAGTTGTCTTTTGCGTGTCTGGAATCAACATGAAGCTATAGATAAAACTGAGGCCACACTTTGAATACCTACTTGAAGCACAACCTATGTATCACTATCTCGCTCTCTGTGGGCAGATGCTCTCTTTCTAAATATACAAAAAATATAAATTTGCTCAAAGTCAATGAAACTCAATGTTAAATCTTTATTTCTTAACATAGGTATCATTAAAATAATAAGTGTAATAAATACTGGTAAAACCTTTTAGGAGGAATTACTGTGAAAAATGTTTCGTGTCGGAAATCACGAAATAAACACTTACGCGTGGAATCTTAAGTCACTTCCGGGACACCACGTACTACCGCAACCACGTACTACAAAATTTTGCACCATTTCTTGTGATAAAACAATGATTAGGTCCTGTAAAAAATCTCAAACGAAATTAACTGCATAGTAAACAAAATAGTAAACAACCGCCATGATGGATGGGCCGGATTGGGCCGATGCATGTTGCCACGTCAAGGTACCGATTCCTCAGGAATTGGGATTGTAATTCCCTGATTCGCCAACTCATTAAGCCTAAACGGCCGACAATTTTGTGATTTTTAATTTACCTAGGTAATCGTAGTTCAAATATTAAATTATTTATTTGTTTAACTTCTGATTCGGTTAGTGAATTGGCTATTTCGAAGAATTTACTAGGAGATTTAAATAAGGAGATAGCAATACTACAGTTCACACTAAAAATAAAGGTTGGCCCACAGAGAGCGAGATAGAGATAAGTAGGTATTTGACTCAAGTTTTTGTTCCAAGGGTGGCCTCCATTTTTATCTTTAGCTTCAGAGAGCGAGATAGTGAGGTTGTGCATCACTATGTCATCAAGTAGGTATTCGGAGTGTGGCCTCCATTTTTATCTATAGCTTCATGGTGCTCACGGACCAGGCTTTAGTCGTGGTTTTGGCGAATTAATTTGTATGAAAAATTTAAATGAAAAAAATTAATGAATTGAAAAATGTTAAATATGCCATTCGATCGTATTATGATGTGGTCGTATTAATACCCTAGAGTTACAGGATATCAAAAGGAAGACGTTGTATTTATTTTACAGGTGGTGAGAAAGGTGTAGATCTGGCCTGCTTACAGTGGCTATTGGATTGGACAGAACCAACATGAGTGTGAATGTGTAAATTTATGGAGACCATTAAACTATTTTACCATAAGTCATAAGCCACATTTTATATGTGTGTCGGACGGTATGGGGTTGCAACCCTGTGCGGACCCTTGATACCGTACGCCGACACGGCGCGATGCGGGGTGCAGCGCGAGCGGGAGAGCGAGACGAAGGGGGCGGGGAGCGCAGAAATAATAACTCTGTTGTGGTTGAGTCTGTGACCGGTTCCTCGGAGCAGTGGAGAGAGCTTGGTGTTGTAGCTTGTTGAGGAGAAAACGCGGAACTGTCGGTGCCTTTTTTTTTTTTTTTTTTTTTTTTTAGTCATCGAATGATATCGTGCGACTCGATTCGAAAATTAATTAATTCCGATAAAACTGATAATTTGTTAAATACAAAACCAAAAACATCTTTATTTACCTTTTTAAAATAAATTAATTCTTACAAATCGTCAAATCTCGTTTTTTTTTTACCCTACCAGCGTTTCAAAACATAAATTTGTCAAGTGCATGAATACATGCATCAGTGTGTGTCTTATTGTTATGAGTAAGTACGGTTCCTTGGGATCGGTATGAGTGCACCACATACAGGGACCATGGTTTTAACTCTTAAGAGTACATCGCAGGATATGTATTAAAAACAATGCTACTTTATACTTCTTCTACTGCTACTTTATTCTAATTAATTATTTGTTACTTGTGCTGTTAATTACAATTCTCAATCCGTAAATAATTTCTTCTTTCTCCCGTGTTCGTACTACTGTCCTCGTAAAATCATCGTAACCGATTGTTGTAATCGGATTACATGAACATCACTCGACCATGTATGTCCATTTGGACATATCGGAATGGCGCGCTTTGACGATCAACTTGCTGTATCTACTCTAATCCATATCTGTGATTTTGGAACTATATAAATGAACTATAATGTCATTAAAGGAAGACAGACGGCACGGTAATATTATCTATACAGACGGTCACAGAATATAAAACTTTTTTGACAGGCCCTAGAGGAAATTACTTTTTTTATAGTTGTCTTTTGCGTGTCTGGAATCAACATGAAGCTATAGATAAAACTGAGGCCACACTTTGAATACCTACTTGAAGCACAACCTATGTATCACTATCTCGCTCTCTGTGGGCAGATGCTCTCTTTCTAAATATACAAAAAATATAAATTTGCTCAAAGTCAATGAAACTCAATGTTAAATCTTTATTTCTTAACATAGGTATCATTAAAATAATAAGTGTAATAAATACTGGTAAAACCTTTTAGGAGGAATTACTGTGAAAAATGTTTCGTGTCGGAAATCACGAAATAAACACTTACGCGTGGAATCTTAAGTCACTTCCGGGACACCACGTACTACCGCAACCACGTACTACAAAATTTTGCACCATTTCTTGTGATAAAACAATGATTAGGTCCTGTAAAAAATCTCAAACGAAATTAACTGCATAGTAAACAAAATAGTAAACAACCGCCATGATGGATGGGCCGGATTGGGCCGATGCATGTTGCCACGTCAAGGTACCGATTCCTCAGGAATTGGGATTGTAATTCCCTGATTCGCCAACTCATTAAGCCTAAACGGCCGACAATTTTGTGATTTTTAATTTACCTAGGTAATCGTAGTTCAAATATTAAATTATTTATTTGTTTAACTTCTGATTCGGTTAGTGAATTGGCTATTTCGAAGAATTTACTAGGAGATTTAAATAAGGAGATAGCAATACTACAGTTCACACTAAAAATAAAGGTTGGCCCACAGAGAGCGAGATAGAGATAAGTAGGTATTTGACTCAAGTTTTTGTTCCAAGGGTGGCCTCCATTTTTATCTTTAGCTTCAGAGAGCGAGATAGTGAGGTTGTGCATCACTATGTCATCAAGTAGGTATTCGGAGTGTGGCCTCCATTTTTATCTATAGCTTCATGGTGCTCACGGACCAGGCTTTAGTCGTGGTTTTGGCGAATTAATTTGTATGAAAAATTTAAATGAAAAAAATTAATGAATTGAAAAATGTTAAATATGCCATTCGATCGTATTATGATGTGGTCGTATTAATACCCTAGAGTTACAGGATATCAAAAGGAAGACGTTGTATTTATTTTACAGGTGGTGAGAAAGGTGTAGATCTGGCCTGCTTACAGTGGCTATTGGATTGGACAGAACCAACATGAGTGTGAATGTGTAAATTTATGGAGACCATTAAACTATTTTACCATAAGTCATAAGCCACATTTTATATGTGTGTCGGACGGTATGGGGTTGCAACCCTGTGCGGACCCTTGATACCGTACGCCGACACGGCGCGATGCGGGGTGCAGCGCGAGCGGGAGAGCGAGACGAAGGGGGCGGGGAGCGCAGAAATAATAACTCTGTTGTGGTTGAGTCTGTGACCGGTTCCTCGGAGCAGTGGAGAGAGCTTGGTGTTGTAGCTTGTTGAGGAGAAAACGCGGAACTGTCGGTGCCTTTTTTTTTTTTTTTTTTTTTTTTTTGGATTTAATAATTTAAAAATTATGTCATAAACTGCATATAAACATGAATTTGATTTATTATTTGTTAAAGACAATGAGTTTTAGCGAATGTTTTTCGATAATAAAACGCAAATCCATGAAACGATTTTATACGACCGGTCACTTTTCGGTCTTCATGGAATGGTCAAAATTTCAAGACAAGACCCGACTGGCAACACTGTAGGGTCGTTTTATTTTATTACCCACGCTGAACTGTCCCGCCAAACTCAATGACAGGGGGGCGCTACCATCGTTCAACTTTATGGTTTCCAACATGGCAAAA